TCTCCTCCGGGTCTCGCGCCCCGCCCGCCCCGCCACACGAGCCGGCGGTCAAGCAGCAGCGCTTGCCAGCTGCGTTGCTGCTGCTGCTCCTATTGTTGCAGTTGCTGCATCTTTTGAATATTAAGCTTTTTAGTTTTGGCGGCAAATAATTCAACAAATTTGCTGCGAGAGAAGCAGCAGCTGCAGCAGCGAAGACACTGCAGCGCAGTATCGCTCCGCCGCGGCTCCCACCAGCCCCGTGGGCACGGTCCCTAGCAGCAGCAGCAACAACTGCAGCAGCAGCAGCTGCAATCGTTTAAATTGCTGCTACATGAGTCGTGCGCTACTTGGGTAGTTTGTGTGGCCTGCAACCTGAGCAACAGCAGCGGCGACGAGCAAGGCAGACAAACCCAAGACAGCAGCAGCAGCAGCAGCAGCAGCAGCAGGGGTAGTAGCGGCACCAGTCGCGGCGCGGAACCAGTGCATCTTATTGACTAGACAGAGTGTGTCTGCTCACTGAAATAACCAGCAGAAATACCACCACCACCGTCAACAGCAGCAGCAGCAGCAGCAGCAGCAGCAGCGTCGACTGGCTGGCCCACTGGTGAGGCACAGCCCTGCGGAGCCCCCCTGCAGCAGCACTCAGCAGCAAGTGCCGCAGCAGCAGCGGCCTTAATTAGCAGCAAATATCACCCGATGACACAGAGGGAAATAACAACGGCGGGACGATAGCAGGCACTGCTGCTGCTCCCGCAGGCGGTGGTGCAGCAGCAGGCCGCAGCACACAGCAGCAGCAGCAAACAGCAGCAGGCAGCAGCACACAGCAGCAGGCAGTTGCAGGCCACACTATCCAGCAGCGAGCAGCAGCTCACTGCAGCACGCAGCGACACACGGCAGCAAGCAGCAGCGCACAGCAGCAAGTAGGAGAGAGCAGCAAGCCGCAGCGCACAGCAGCAAGCAGCAGCACACAGCAACAGGCAATAGCGGGCAGCAGCAAACAGCAGCAGAAAGGCTGCGGAGGCAGCTCAACCAAGACACGGACTGGAGCGGCTACTGCTGCAGCAGCAGCTGCTGCTGCTGCTGCGTGCTTGTCTCGGGACAGAAGCCAGTAGAGGAAAAGGGGTGCTGCTCTTGCTTTCACTGTGCGCCCCCAGCAGCAGCAGCAGCCGCTGCTGCTGCTGCAGCAGCAGCAGACCAACCAGACTCTAGCGGCAAGCGGGAAGGCAGCAATGCAGTGAGCGACGCCCCTGCCGTTGCCGCTGCAGCAGCAGCAGCAGCAGCGGAGGCGCCGCCAGCTGCCTCTTTTTTGGGTGCTGCTGCTTCCCCTGTGCTGCTGCGGACGGCCCGTGCTGCTCTCGGGTCGCTGCGGTCAGCAGCAGCAGCAGCTTGCTGCCCCTTTCTTCTTATTTATGCCCATGGCAATGGCAGCGACCTAAAAGATGTGCTGCCGCTGCTGCAGCAGACACAAAGCAAGACAGGTGCTGCAGTTTTGGCCTTCGACTACCCTGGATATGGCCTTTCCCAAGGTTTGCTGCTGCATCTTTTGATTGTTGCTGCTGCTGCTTGTATTGTGAATGCCGGCTTGTCGCTGTAGCTACTGCTACCGCTTTGCTGCTGCTGCCGTTTCGCTGCTGCCGCCGTTTTGCCGCTACTGCCGTTTTGCTGCTGCTGCTGCTGCATGGAAGTGGCTGAAGAGGGGCTTGCCCAGCAGCAGCGAACAGCAGCAAAAGCAGCAGCAAGAGCAGCAGCAAAGTGTCGGGTTTGCGCGCAGGAAGAGCCAGTGAAGAGTCTGTTGATATTTGCCTGCAGTCAGTGCTGTCATTTGTGCTGCTGCACCTGCGGTGGCCAGCAGCAAGAGTTGTTTTGTGGGGCTGCAGCATCGGGGCAGGGCCTGTGACTCGTGCTGCTGCAGCATTTAGTGCTGCTTTTCGGCAGCAGCAGAAGCACCAGCATGGGCGCTGCAGCAGGCTGCAGCGCCAGCTGCTCCAAATTGCACACAAGCGGCAGCAACAACAGCAGCAGCAGCAACACAACGAGCACCATGGCTGCGAACAGCTGCAGCCCCGTCTTTTTTTCCCCATTCTCGGCAGCAACTTGTGCGCATCTTCAGCAGCAGCAGCAGCAGCAACAGCAGCAGCCATCGTGCCGCCCAGCTCCGCGACCCCTGAGGCTGTAGTTGCTGCGCAGGTAGCTGCAGCAGCAATGACGAATTGTTCGGGGGCCTGGCGCACGACGAGCAGCAGCAGCAGCAGCAGCAGCAGCAGCAGCAGGTGCTGGAGCGGGGGCGGCTCCGTGAATTTGTACAATCTGGGAGGCATCGTGTTGCAGTGTCCGTACACCTCAATTCGCGCAGCAGCAAAAAGTTTTGTTCCAGCAGCAGCAGCATCTCTTGTGGTGCCGCGGAGTGTTTGGCCAGTTGCTGCTGACCTCAGTAGCCCCAACTTCTGCTGCAGCTGCCTCTTCCTGCATGGGAAGCAAGACGAGCTGTTTTGCTGGGAGCAGACTTGGGAAATGCAGCAGCAGCTGCAGCAGCACCTGGAACGGATACAAAAAAGCGCAACCAGCAGCAGCAGCAGCAGCAGCCGCAGCAGCAGCAGCAACAGCTGCGGCACTTACGATGACTTGACCCAGCCATATGCGTCTTACAATGGCAGAAGAGGCAGCAGGCAGCGGTGCAGCAGCAACTGCAGCGACAGAGGTAGTGGCAGCAGCTGCAGTCTTCCTGTTTTAAACCAGGCCCCAAGCAGCAGCAGCAGCAGCAACAGCTGCAGCTACATGGACAAATCTGAATATCCCCCCTACTTCTGTCTTGGCTGGTACCCACCTGCTGCTTCTCATTGTGTCTTTGATTGGGGCAGAGATCTGCTGCTGCCTATCTCGGCCTTCCTGAAGAAGGCGCATGCAGGTCTGCTGCTGCAGCTTGCTGCTGCACTTCTGCCGCTGCTGCAGTTCCATGGAGACGACACCGCAGCAGCAGGAGCTGCAGCAGAAGCAGCAGCTCCGGGAGACTGGTGTAGCACCGCCCTTGTGCTGCTTCCCGACAGAGACAGGTTGCTGCTGCTGCAAGAGACGCTTCTTGGCGACTCCGCTGCTGCAGTTTCAGCAGCAACGGCAGCAGCAGCTCAGACGAAGACAGAAGCAGCAGCAACAGGAAGAGCTGCTTGCGGCTATTTGTCTCAGTGCCTGCGGAGTGCAGCACTTAGCAGCACTTCGTTTGTGCTGTTTGCTTCCGACGCATTTGCTGCTGCCTGGACTGAGGCCGTGAACTACCACTGCCCTCTCCTTGAGCAGCAGCAGCAAGAGCAGCAGCAGCAGCAGCAACAGCAACAGCAGCAGCAATATGTTGGGAAGAGCGAGCCTCAGGGTGCCGCTCGCAGCAGTCAGCGGCAAAATCTGAAGAGGCGGCTCCCGCTGCTGCTGCAGCAGCATGTCGACACTTGGGGTTTACCAGCAGCAGCAGCAGCTTCGGCTGCTGCGAGGCAGCAGCTGCTGCTGATTGGTGCTGCGCTGCGTCTGTTTGCTCCTCACCAGCTTTCTGGCCTTCAAGTCCAGCAGCAACTTTTGGAGCGGTACCCGTTGCAGCAGCAGCAGCAAGCATCAGCAGCAGCAGCAGCGGCACCGCTGCTGCGTGTCACTCCGCTTTTGTCTGCTGCAGCGCAGTATCTGATGGCAGAGTCTTCTGTGAGCCCCCTGAGTCCTGCTGCAGCAACTGAATTCAGCAGCAGCGGCTGCACGTCAGCAGCAGCAGCAGCAGCAGCAGGAGGCTGGCTGCAAGAGGGCACCAGCCAGGGGCCACTCTCTGCTGGGTCAGAGACGGAAGAAGAGACAGACACAGATGAAGGGGATGAAGCAGCAGCAGCAGCAAATGCTGTTGTGGCTGGTGACATGCTGAATGGCCTCCCGTACAGCAGCAGCAGAGGCAGCAGCAACAGGTGCTCGCACGCCCTCTCGTTTCACCAGCACGAAGTGAGGTGGCTGCAGCGGCAGCAGCTGCAGCAGCTGCTGCATCGACAGCAGCAGCACCAAATGCTACAGCGGCTGCAGCTGCAGCAAATGGCACAGCGGCGGCACCACCATCAGGCACACCCGCATGTGCTGCATCAGGAGCAGCAGCAGCAGCAACAGCAGCAGCACCTGCTGCGGCGCATGCAAACTGCCTACCCGCTGCCTCCCCCAGTCCCACATAATTGGATTTACGGGTCCCCATACGCATCACTTGCAGAGAGGCGGCGACTTGCTCTGGAAGCAGCAGCAGCAGCGTCCAGTGCCGCTGCTGCTGCTGCTGCTGCAGCTGCTGCAGCGGCGTCGCTGCCCCTGTTCGGGTCCGTGGATGGGCTCATGCGCCTCGTCAGCGACCGCTTTGTAGAGTTCTTGTCGCTGCTGCTGCATACTGCGGTGCAGCGAGGCCTCGTAGAGGAAATGAGGGGGCTGCTGCAGCAGCAGCAGCAGCAGCAGCCGTATTCTCGGCAACAGCAGCAGCAGGCAGACGTCATGCTGCCCCAAATACTTGGCTTTATTAAGAGGCTTTATGCAGTCTTGCAGCCCTCGCTAACTCTTGAGGCCGTCTTTGTGAGAGAGCCGAGGCAGCAGTCGCAGCAACAGCAACCCGAGCCGCAGCAGCAGCAGCACCAGCAGCAGCAAGGGCAGCATCAGCAGCAGCAGCAGCACAAAGAGCCTGCTGCGGCGAAATATGTTCTTAACAGCATTTTTGTTTGTGGCATTCGGCTGTCCCTTATTGACATCTCCCCGCTACCCTCGCACAGCAGCAGATACACCAGCAGCTGCAGCAACGGCAGCAGCAGCAGCAGAATCGAGGTCTCACCTAGCAGCAACACGGTAAGCAGCAGCGGAAAACAAGTTGCTGCGCCTATTGGAGGGGTACTATATGCTGAGGCCGTCCCTCTAGCTGCTGCTGCTGCTGCTGCTGCTTCGGCGGGGTTCCGCCTTTTTCAAAGCAGCAGTAACGGCAGCAGCAGCAGCGGAGGCGAAGGCCCCACAAAGACTCCTGAGACGTTGCTGCTGCCGCTGTTTGCTGCCCCGATGCCCAGCATGCAGCTGACGGCTCGGTGGCTGCTGGGGTGTCTGTTCAACGCTGCAGCAGAAGACCCCAAGTCCAGCAGCAGCCCTTGCTCACCGCTGCAGCTGCAGCAGCTGCAGCAGCAGGAGCAACTGCAGCAGGAAGTCGCGAACGAGTTTGCTGCTGAGCACTTAAAGGACCTCAAAAGCCTCTCCAACCTGCCAAACTTTGCTGCACTTGCAGCGCTGCGCCCAGCCTCTCTCGGCCAGCTGCTGCCGCTGCACGGGAACTGCATGCATTCAGCAGCAGCAGCAGCAGCAGCAGGAGCTGCTGCTGCTGCTGCTCCTGCGACGTCCGCACACGCAAACTGCAGCTTCTTTCCCTTTGGGTGGGATCAGCTGCTGCTGCTCCTCTTTGGCTGCCGCCCGCCACAGCACGTGCGGCTGCTCTTTGGGGGCAGTATACAACTGCAGCAGCAGTGGCAGCAGCAGCAACCGCCCAGGTTGTTTGCTCTTCAGGCAAGTGAAGCAGCTGCGGCAGCAGCAGTGCGGGGCCGAATTCTGTCGAATGTGTCTCACCACAACGCTTCAGCAGGCTTGAAGTTACAGGGAGACTTTAATCACTTGCTGGGCCTGCAGCAAGCAGCAGCAGCGGCTGCTGCTGCTGCAGCATCGCATCTTATGCACTGCAGCACGCAGCTGATGATACCCCTCTCTGCTCCAGCAGACCCAGCTTTTTTTCCTGCTGCTGCAGCAAACGCTTCTACGGAAGCGGCGCGTCATGCTTCGCGCGTTTCAGATGTGGCTGCTGCTTTTAATCGGGCCGAAGCAGCAGCTGCTGCAGCAGCTGCTGCAACTGCTGCCTGCAGCAGCAGGAAGACGCCGCAGCCACAAGGCGACCTCGTAGTCACTGGAACTCCGCGGGAGCCAAGCTCATTAGCAGCAGGAGCTGCCGGTGAGGCAGAAGCAGCTGCGGCTGCGGACGCGACTGCAGCAGCAGCTGCTGCTGCAGCTCGTGATGCTGCGGAGCCCACAGGGGCTTCTGCTGGCCCAGCCGAAGGCCCTGAGGTGAATTCGATTCCTGCTGCAGAGCCCGCAGCAGCAACAGCAGAAGCAGCAGCTGAAGCGAACCCCTCAGCAGCTGCCACAGAACAAGACCCGAATCGAGGTTGCAGCATCCCGGCTGTGGGCGCCGAACAGCAGCAGCTACAGCAGACGCCTCAGCAGCGCAAGCAGCAGCAGCAGCAGCAGCAGCAGATGCCTCAACAGCACAAGCAGCAGCAGCCCAGCAGCAATAGGCATGCGCTCTTTTGGCAACCAGCTTTGTTTTTGCCGACCTCGGCGCTGCAAAGCCCGCTCATTGAGGCCTCCTTGCTGCTACAGTTAGGCGGCAGCAGCAGCAGCAGCAAGAGCAGCAGCATGGCCGCAGACGAGCTCGTGGAAACCACGCCTGCTCCATGTTTTGGCTGTAGCTGCCGCAGGAAGCACCGGGGTTGTCAGCTGCTGCTCGCGGAATTTCGGCGTTTGTACACCGCAGGAGGCTCTGCAGCAAGCTGCAGCAGCTGCAGCAGCAGCAGCTGCAGCAGCCGTTGCTGCGTAATTGGAGGGCGGGAGCGCCCTCAAAGCGGCGCAAGGGGCTGCAGCAAAGGCTGCGGGTGGGCGGATTTCTGGGGAGGCGAAGCATCCTCAAGTGCGCGGGCAGAAGCAGCATATGTGAGTGACACTGCAGCAGCAGCAGCAGCGGGAACAGCAGGTGCAGCATCGATGCCCTGTTTTGCTGCTAGTGAGATTTGCTGCGTGTTTGTGTCTTTGCTGCAGCAGCAGGTGGAGGCAGCGCTGGCTTTGGCCCTTGTGCGGCATGAGCTCCAGACGCTCTCCTGCCTACGCTCGGCAGCAGCAGCAGCAGCAGCAGCACACAGCAGCAGCAAACTGGCGAAGCTAGGCCGTCTACTTGCAGAGGGTGCGCCTCTCTCGGGCTGGAACGCAGGTAAGCAGTAACTCTACGAGCTGCTGTTTCTGCTGCTGCAGCTGTGACTTCATGTGTCCGTCCTGCAGCTTTAGCTCTGCCTGCAGAGTTCGGGAGTTTTGATGTATCGCTGCGCTGTACCGTTGCTGCTGCTGCTGCAGCTGTGACAAATGCTGCTCCCTTTTGCTCCGGCGCGGTCGCCTTAGAAAGACTGCTGTTGCACCTCTGGGGCGTGGTGGTACAGCAGCAGCAGCACATAGCAGCAGCCAGTGCTGCTGACCTAGGTGTGCGGCTGCTGCGGCAGCAGCACTGTCGCAATCAGCTGCATCAGCAGCACCAAACAGCTGCGTCGTACGACCCCGTCTCAAGGCTGCAGCAGAAGCAGCAAGCACGGCAGCAGCCAGTTGCTGCAGGGGCGGTTGCTTCAGCAGCAGCTGCTGCAGCGGCAGTGCGCCCACACAGTACGGTTCTTTCCATGCACCCGGCAGCAGCAGCAGCAGCAGCAAGGGCTGCTGCTGCAGACGGTGTTCTCAAGTCCATTCCAGAAGTGACCAATCAGCACAAAATACGCGCAGAGCGCGACGTGTTTGGCCCAGCAGCAACGGAAGATGCAGCAGCGACAGCAGCAGCTGCTGCCGCAGCAGCAGCAGCAGCAGCTGGTGCTGCTGCAGCTGGGGTAACGCTGGTTGGGGAAGCAGTGCAGCAGCAAAAAGGAGCCCAAAGAGTGGCGCCGGGCAGTCGGGCTGTATGTACAGCTCCTTCTATACGTTATGTACGTTCAGTACGCGCTGCTGCTGCTTCTGCTGCTGCTTCTGCTGCTGCTTCTGCTGCTGCAGCTCCCTTTGCAGTTGCCGAAAACCGCCTCCAGCGAGCTGCTGTGTCGCCGTGGGGCGCAGCAGTTGCTGCAGCAGCGGCGCCTGCTGCTGCAGCAGATTGTGCACGCCAGCTGGCTGCGGCAGAGGAGCAGTGAATTGCCTTCTCTTGCTGCTGCAGCTCAACCTGCTGGCGTAGCTGCTGCCGCAAAAGGCGATGCAGCAACAGCAGCTGCAGCAGGCTCAGTTGCTGTCGCTGCTGCAGCGAAGCAGCAGCAGCAGCAGCGGCGCAGGAACATATAAGGTTCCGCAGCGGCAGCAGCGTCAGCGTGCCGTTGCAAGTGCAGTGTCAGCTGGATGGAGCAGCAGCAGCAATTGCTGCTGCTGCTGCTGCTGCTTCGAACGGCGTAAATGGTTTTTTGATTTTGCGTTTGGCTGTCGTCCTATGAGACTAAAGACTAAAGAAAAAGGCAAAAGATTGGCCACCCAGTTACTGCATCGAAGCAGCAGCGGCTTCTGCCGCTGCTGCTGCTGCTGCAGCATTTGCTGCTGCTGCTGCTGCTGCTGTTTCCGTTCAAGCGAAGTAGGGCCGGCTGTAGAGGGCCTCTGTAGCCGCTCAGCTCAGGCAGATCGGAATGTTTCCATCAGCAGCAGCAGCAGCTGCTGCTGCTACTGCTGCTGCGGGGGCTTCTGTTGCTGCCAATGCCCCAGCTACCGACGCAGAGGAAGCAAATGCTGCAGCATGTGATTCGCCTTCTGCTGCTGCGGTAGCCACGCAGGGTACGAAGCCAGCATCAGCAGCAGCAGTGCCGACAGCTTTGCTGCCTGTCACTCTGCTGCTGCTGCAGCTGCAGCACTATCAGGGCCTGAAAACAGCCGCAGGAGTCCCAGCAGCAGCAGCAACAGCACAATCACCAACAGCCACGCAGACGGGCCAAGGGCGATTCCCCGGGCCTCCTCCGAGCCAGGAAAGTAAACCAAGGACATTTCGGTGAACCCTACGCGCTGCCGCAGCACTAGAGGTTCTGCTGCTGCTGCTGCAGCAGAAGGAGAAGCAGCTGCTGCTGACTCGACGCCGCTGCCCTTCTGGGGGCGCCGCTGAGCAGCAGGCCCCATTTTGGGGCCTTCCACTTGGCTTGGAGCTGCTACCTGTGTTACTGCTTCTTCTGGTGCTGTTGCTGCTGTCCTTGCTGCTGCTGCTGCTGCTGCTGCTGGTTTCACGTTATGAAAGATCTACAGTTGCTCAAGTCTCACACATGGAGCAAAGGGGCCAGAACAACCGCCACAGTTAGTTACGGGTTTGCTGCCCTTGGAAATCGAATTAAATAATGAATTTCGTAATTTGCTTTTAAAATGCAGAAAGGAGGACGAAGAAGAGCAGCATGGGACACGCACGGGGAGTAGGCGGGCCCCTGGGACCCTCAACAGCTCTGCTTTGATCTAATATTTGTCCCTAATCACTGATTTGAATAAATAAAACATTTTGATTAATGTTTTAAAGCCATTCACAGATAGAAAACGTGGCGAACACCTCCTGCCCCCAGCCAACTGCTGCAGGCTGTCTTGTGAACGGCAGAGGCAACACAGCAGCAGAAACAGCAGCAACAGCAGCAGCAGCACCAACAGGAATGTCTCATTAGAACTTCGAAATTTTCGGCCTCACATCTAGCTTTGTTACTGCTTCTGTTTCTTCCCATTGCACTCCAGCTGCTTGACTTTCAAGACAACACATCTTCAAGAATATTTCAAAGTAAACACGAGGCCGCCTTTCCTGTCTTCACCCAAAGCAGATCTGTGCCTCTAAAGCAGCTACGAACTTTCAAGTTCAACCACACCTAAGTGCACTTGTTCATATAGCCTGCAGGAGCACACAGAGGGCGCGCCGCCGGACTTGAGTTGGGCCTGGCAGGAGCAAAGTGAAGCATGAAAGCTGCCTTTTGTTGCTGCTTTTTGACCAGTTTCGTACACACTGGAAGATTCGCAAAGGCGCTTAGGTGTGCAGGCATTTTCAGGCTATTTGACGTTCAATTTGTAGCAGCAAATAAGGTGTACAGACACCTAGGTCCAACTACACTTTTCTCAATCCGTCTGCCGCTGCAACGGAAACACAGGCCGACACTTTAGTGCCACTGAATTTGGCTGCGAAAATGGGACTCAGTGACTGCACTGGCCTTTTGAAGTGCAGAATAGAGAAAAGCTTGGAGAAAAAATAGTTCAGGAGGACATAAAGTGGACAAAAAAGCACCTTTTGTTCGGGCCAACCAGCCTGTAAGCCGGCTCGCAAGCAGTGAGGGTTCTTATCCCACCGCTACGCCCCAAAGCAGCATTAATCCTCAACAACTGAACAGCTTTTTTAATGTTGATGCAACTTTTTTGAGTAGGAATTGCTTGGGCTTTTTTCCTGAAGTGAAGATGGCCTGGCCTGGAAACAGCCGGCGCAGCACCAGCCCAGTGTGGTACTTAGTATCTGTTGCGGATTCCGGACCATCCAAAATGTTTATGCATTCGAAAAAGAAAGAAATTCCAACGAAATAGGGCCCTGTGTATCTCTATTCACCCGGTGGAAATAGAAGTCATTCAAGCCGTGGACAGTCTCAACAGCCCTAGCAGTAGAGTAAAAGTCTCAGCGCCGTAGCCTCTGCAAGTCGTGGAAAAGACAGCAAAGGCCAAGATTAAAAATAATATGCGCAACTAATGAATCAAAAAGAACGACGAAGTACGAAGATACAGCCACCCTATTCTTTAAGCCACTCATGGTACGAAATGTAAGGAAGCCAACAAACGCGCTGCAGCTAAAAATTGGAGAATCAGATCGTATCAAATTAAGCAAAATGCAGTTACCGCACAGAATCCAATATGAAAAAGTTTGTTCAAAGCAACAGATGAGAAGAAGTGTAATGTTCTGCCGCAGTGACACACACCGCACGTAGCGACTGCGGTGTAACCGCCCCTGTTAATGTCCCAATCCGTGTTTGACTAAATATAATAAATAAAAATAATTTAAAGGCAGAATTGGAGAAAGATCTTAGGAGGAAGAGGCAAGCCGGTATGTGTGTGTGCACTGTCGTGACCTGGCCCGATGTGCGTGCCTCAACGGCAAAACGTAATCGAATTGCCTCCTCGAAAGCGTCTGTAAATACTTCGGCAAGTAACTACATAGACATAAAATAATAATAATTCTTAGTAAAACGTGTATACAAAGGGAGACAGAGGTTCTGCAACGCCAGCAGCAGCAGCAAACTACCGGTGGCGCCAGTGGTCACCTCCGGGACACTCTGAGAACACCCCCTTTGCGGTGCTGGTTAGTCTACAAATCAGTAGAACTTTTGATTGTAGTGGTCTCTGAGTCCATATATTCTGCTCTGATTATGGCCTTCCTTCCCTGCTGCTTCTCAAGGAGGCTGGCCGAAGCAACAGAAGTAGCAACAACAACAATAACGCAAGGAGCAAGAGCCCTTAGAGGCAACGCGACGGGAATTCGGGCTCTTTGTTACGCAGGCCACACATACGGCAAGCCTGTCTTTGCTTCTGCGGCAGGGCTCACAGAATGCAGGAATGTGGGCCAGCCATTTGGGGCTTTCAGGTTTGCCTACATAGGCGCACTAGTGGCAGGTGCCAGAGCAGCAACAGCAGCAGCATACCATGTGGCGACGCCAGCAGCATCAATTGCAGCAAGCCGCTGGCTCTGCAGTCGCGGCTTTGCGTCTGGAGTAGGGCAGCAATTTATTTTCGCCCCAGGGCAGCAGCGACAGCAGACTCACCCGCAGGAAGAGTCCCATCAGCCGCCGTCGCCAGCTCCTCGGGCGCCGCCAAACCAACGGCAGCAGCAAAAACAGCAGCTGCAGCAGCTTGTATTAACAGGGGATGCAGCGGGAGCAGCAGCCTTGCGTCTGTATAGCATGAGTGATTTGTTGCGCTCCTTGTTTGTATTTAGTTTGTGCCGGCACCATTGGCTGGTTGACAACTGGGAGTCCCTGTTGAATGTTTCTTGTCGCATCTTTGGAAGCCGCGCTGTCTTCGCTTTCATTAGATTTTCTTTCTTCAAAGTCTTCTGTGGAGGAGAAGCTTTGGAAGAGGTTGTGCAAACCCTGGACAAACTCAAGCAGAGAAGTGAGAAAGCTCCCCATATCAGTGGTCCAGTTGTTGGCTAACCTGTCGATCCTTCCTTTCATATTTGCTCCTCTTCTTGTTCGTTTGGTTAGTGGGCTGTTGAGTCCGTCACATTGATCTCTCTCTGTTCGCTTTATTTGCCACTCTGTCCGCTTTTGTTCCTGTTAGCTTTCGTTTATTTGGTTTCTTATTCCCTTGTCCTTGTTGCTGTATCCATTTGTTCTCGTTTGTGTACGTTTTCCTTCTAGGCCTGCATTGTAAACTTGCCCTGCCCCTATGTCCTTCATCTCATCTTTCTCTCACCATGTATGTGTACTCTTGCGTCTCCGCTCTGTTCTGTGTTTCTTTCCCCCTCTTTTTATCTCCCTTTTGTCATTTTTCCTTTATATTTATATCTCTCCTATTTGTATATTTTAATCGGCTGTCTTGTGTTCATCAGACTTGGGAGCCATATTGGATTATGCTGCAGAGCAGCAGCTACCTGGCCTGCCGGGCGCTGCTGTGCGCACTGAAGACCACACTCACAAATTCACCACTGCCGTGAAGATCACAAGAGAAATAATACGTTTAGCAGGAGGGAGAGGGGAAGGTTTCGTCGCAACAAAGGTCACAGCTTTCGGGCCCACAGAACCAATGTTCCTTTTCAACTCGCTGGTGCTGCAAACAGACAAGCTCTTCGCAAAAATTGCAGGTGCATTGAAGCTCTTGCAGCTCCCGCTGCAACTGACCCTTTTGTTTCTGTTGACACTTTTCTTGCTTCTGCTTCCGTCGCTTCAGGCGTTTCTGTTCTTGTTTCTTCGGTTGCATTTGCTAGTGCTTTTGCCGCCGGCTGATGCTGCTAGGTCTCTGCTGTCGTTGTTTTTATTACTTTTGCTCATCTCAAAGACTCTCTTATGCGTCTACTTCTGCATCTTTCGCCATTTCGTAGGCATAGAGGCCGTAGCGTCTAACGGCAGGCCCTATCCGAAGCAGTTAGCAGCAGCGGAAGTTTCGGAAGATCGATTTATCTCCGCATTGACAGCTGAAGGAGTGGGGGCTCTTGAGGCAGAGTCACTTTTCAAGGAGTTGCTGAAACAGCCGGGAGGCAGAAGCAGAAGCAGCAGCAGCCCTAGCGAGAAGAAGACAGTGTCGTACTTTCAGTGGAGCCACAGGGTCACTCCCGACGCGGTCGGCCATGATGGTCCTTTGCAATGCCTGCAGAAGGTGAGATTGTCATCCTCTTAATTGTTTATGGGATGCACAGCAGTACTGGAAGATGCAATTAGACAAAATATTATATAGTAATATATAATACATTGCACTTTGTTATCTCGTGCGGCACTTCGGCAGTAAGAAACAGAGGCAGAAACAACCATCAGTCCTCAAAACCTACACTAAAAGCCGCCATGGCTCATTGAGACCTCGCTGAAGGCTATTCGATGTGCTTGAAAAAGAGTATTGAGCCTATCGCATAGGTTATGACTCGGGTTTACCAAATTATGTTGAAGAGAGAAGTGCTAGGGGGACATATATTTAGCAAATTTCGTTTGTTGTCTGGCTTTAGGTCTTGCCGATATTGAGTGCTGAAGACTTGCTGGTCTACGAAGATATTTGCTCACGCTTTTTTTCTGTCTGCGAATACGCCGCACAGCAGCAGCAGCAGCAGCAGCACCAAAAGCCGACCATGCTGTTGGTGGATGCGGAGCAGAGCACCTTGCAAGCATTCATTCATCTCATAACTGTCCAGGCGCAAAAGAAATACAATTTGGAGAGACCAGTGATTGTGAACACCTACCAGGCGTACCTCACGTCAGCAACTTTTACAGCGGCCCTTATTTGCGTTGCTGCTGTTCTTGCTGATGCTGCTGCTTCTTCCGCTTTTGCTGCAGCTTCTCTTCCGAGTTTTGTTCTTGCTGACTCAGCAGCAGTTTCTGTAGGCCCTTACCTCTTGTGATGGTCTGAGTCTTTTCTGTACTGTGCATGCAGAGATACAAGAGACCGTCTAGAGCGTGATCTGGAGCTATCTAATATTTTTGGATTTGCCCTATCGGTCAAGTTGGTGCGGGGCGCCTATGTCTGCCAAGAGATCAAAGCAGCATCGGAAACGGGGCAGCCCCTGCAGGTATTCAGCGGCATTGAAGGTACACACAAGAGCTTCGACGCGTGCCTTCAGTTCCTACTGCGGAATTTGGACCAAGTTTATGCTTTCATAGGTGAGGCATCCCCGCCTGGTATCGCCGTTGTCGGCCCTTACTTTGGGAGAAACTTTTCCGTGTTGATTGCTTTTTTGGCTGTCTTTGCTCCTCGTGGCCTAGTTTTATCTTTTAAATTCCCCGAGCTCCTTGTAGTCTTCTCTCTACCTGCCTTTTTATGCGTCGTTTTGGTCGTCTGGTGTCTTTTTTCCGTTGAAGGGAGAAATGGATTTTGGTATTAGTGTTTTCTGGGCTACACGACGATGCAGACTTTTACTCGCTAACACTAATATCAAGAAAGCGCATCAAAAGCACGCAAATGGTTTCTGCAACACACGGAGCTGTTCTGCACGAAGCTGTCTTTGACTAGCAACTGGGGCTTGCCTGTGCTTCCCTGTCTGCTCTTTTTGGTTACCGTGCTGCTGCTGGCGCTGTTATTGCAGCGTCCCACAACGCACGTTCTTTAGAACTGGCCGCGAGCTTGCTGAGAGGTGGTGGGGCTGCTATCGAGGCTGACGGATCTTCTCGGAAGGTGGCGTTTGGCCAGCTGTATGGCATGGGGGATGCGCTTTCTCAGGGGCTGTCTTCTGCGGGTTTTGATGTATACAAATATGTGCCCTTTGGGCCCGTGGAAGATACTATTCCCTACCTTCTCCGCAGAGCACAGGAAAATACTGGCATGCTTGGAGGCGCCCAAAATGAAGTCAGATATCTTTGCCATGAAATCACGAGGAGAGTTCTAGGCCGCAAATAAGACCTATTGGCTATGTTATTGTGTTGCTAACTTGCATTTGGGATTTTATCGGCATGCAGCTCGGCGTTTAGTGCTTGGAGGCGGTTCGGAACGGTTTCCAGCAGCTGCAAGAAGACAAACACTTTCCATGCGTGTACCAAAAAAGGCAAACTGGGAAGTATGCCTCCATTTGTTTCGTTTATGCATATGTATGCACTTTAGAAGCATCCAAGCTGCGGCGGTGGGTCGACGGCAGTAACAATATTGCGCACAGCATAGTCTTGCACGCTATTCGCATACGTGCATGGTGCAATGGCACAGCCCAGAGAATGAGTGGAAGTCGTGAATACACGTGCATATGCACGCACCATTATATATGCGATGTGCATATGTGCGTACATGCACCAACGCCTTGCAAGAATTGGGAGGAGGAAGCAGCGGCTACTTGTCAGTTTTCGTGGGTTCCACTCCTCGATTTTCCAATAGCGTTGGCCCTAAAACATTTTTTTCGTCTAGTTATCGGCGCCCGGCATGGGCATACGCCACACGCACTGCACTTACACACGCGCCAAAAAGATTTTAAGGGCAGAGCAACACTATAACACCTTCTTTAACGCTCCACTGATTCCACTAATGGCTGTAGTGGCGAGACAGTGACTACGGCAAGCAGGCGCTTGGTCATGTAAATTCGAAAACGGAGTCAAAAGCTTGCTCATCGAATGTTGTTTCCGTGCACCAGTCGGCATGGAGGCATAAGCGTGTACCAATTTCTGGTAAAAAGGCATTAAAGGTGCAGAGCACTTGCTAGGAAGCGAGGCGTCAAACAGGGACCCTCACCTCCCCTCATTTGATTTAGGGGAGTGGCTCGTCGGTACAGTTGGCTGCAGAGAGAGAACAGTGGCACATTCTTACGCAGTTGCAAATGTGTCACTCTTTTCATTTGGCATTCTACTATCCTGTACTCAGCATTTAGGTACACGGCAGTACGTAATTCTGCAGGCGACACGAGCAATGGAGAATTCTCTGTTGCCATTGTTAATTGGGCGGTGACACGCCTTGTGTACCCCTTCTAGGGAATGGTTCTCTGAGCTGCTGTGCGGAGGGACTGAAATACTACCTCTAAAGTTGGTCCACTTTTTGCCCTACCCTTACAAAAGCTCGAGCACGCATTGCTTCCCACGGGGTTACTTGGCTGAAGCTGTCAAAAAGAAGTAAAGCGCTCCCGGGGAACGACACGAAAATATTGCCGAGGAGGTGCATATGAGCTGCACATTTAGCTGGCCTAGTGGGCCGACACAGCCCACAACGTCTTATTTGTGCGCTGTGTACCAAAGATAAAGAACTGCAGGTGCTCACTGCAACCGAAAAGCTAAATGGATGCTAGACATAAGTTGCTCCTTTTATGGAGTTTTTACTTTTGCCCAATGCGCACTTTTAAATAATATGCTCATTGTTTACGTTTGACGCCGTGCGCATGCTAGGAAGGTACTGCAATGGCACTAGGCCGCATACATAGCACTAACACTGCTAACTGAATGAGGACTTCTACGAGCAACCAGTTGGAGTTATGCACTGATGCGCCTCTCAGGCAGATATACTGTAGCTTTTGAGTTTCTCGGCAATCATTGTTTCTGCTGAAAAGGAGTACTGCAGTTGCCGGTGTGGTGGAGCTGCAGGGAGCATAGTTAAGCTGTTAAACTGGGCGTAGCAGCGGAGAATGAGTGAACAATTCCCCCAAGAGTTAGAGGCCACGTTGAATAATTGTTTTTAAAAGACAAAGATAGCAGAGATATAGACCAGCATAAATGGAGGCAGAGGCACGCCTTTTGCGTGCGTGAGCAGCCGATTCAGGCGCCGTTATGGGCAAGTTAGTGCGGCATTGCCACCATATGCAGCGAATTAAAAGATAATTCAAGGTGAAGTAAACAAAGAACTGAGCATTTTCGGCCGTAAGCGTCCTGAGCTTTCAGCGTGGGAGGAAACACTGGAAATTAAGCCCCGAGCAGCCCGTTGGACTGCAGGTCACTGCCCAACCCGCAGTGGTGGCCCCGCTCCATAAGCCGACACCTAAAAGCCGCCTTGACTGAAGACCGTTCACTGAAGTTGACAACTAGTCAATATTATTTTAGTAAGTAAAGAAATAACGTGTTTATTTCCCAATTTCCACCGCCAATTTCGCGCGAATTGCTGCGGCGAGGTCGTTGCCTGGCCGCCAGACCCTTCAGTGCTAGTCAGGTATCAGAGCACCAGTAGTTCAAGTGGTGCGAAGCCACAATTCTACTATACATAAAATAAGTAGCCAAGCAAAAATATGCTACCCATGCTTCCTGAATGTGTCGCCGAAAAGGTCCCGATGAGCAGCGACGGCAGCAGCAGCTGGGGATGCAGCTGAGACAGGCAGCTCAAGCCACAGTAGAAACAGGAGCGAAAATAGGACTAGGCCCTCTGGGATCTGTTCCCATTTCGCAAGCGGATCCCAGAGGGCTTTGGCGGGGCCGACAGTGGCAGCGAAGATGCCGATCTACAAGAAGGTGACGTTATTGGGTTCGGGCTCATTCGGGAAGGCGTTTCTAGTGATAGAAAAGGGAGGAGATGGGACCAAGTGAGGCACAAAGCTTTACATTATGCGGATACCACAGGTATAGGCAAATAGCATGTGTGGGAAGCAGCGGAGACTGCAGCTGCAGCAGCAACTGCAGCTGGAGCAGAAGGTGCACACTCCCTACGAGCAGAAGCGACGAAACGCTCACTTTGATGCAACAGAGTGTTTAGGTGCATCTGCTTCACTATGTATCGGCGCTTTTTGTGTTTTCCTCTCCGCCTGCCTTTGCCCTACGGCCACTGCCGTCAATTATACACTTGTAATGGTCTAAAGGCTTTTACGGAAGGGCCTCGCAGACACAAAAAGACAACAGAAGCAAAACCAGACGGAAGGGAAATTAGAAAAACGAAAGGAAATATACAAAAAGATAAAATAACAGAGAGACAGAGATATGCATGCAGAGGGACAGAGTTTCACGGGCAGGCAACTGAAACCGACGAAAAGGTAGAGATATGCAGCAGGAAGACGAAAATGAAAACGTATGGACCGGCAGTGGTGGCAAAGCAAGTAAAGATAGACAAGGGCCAAGAGAGTGGGTGGCTGTGCTTTTGGCGTGTATGCGCAGGCTTGTGTTGAAGTCAATAGACATGTCGGGTATGGACGCAGTGGACAGAGAAGAAACCCTAAATGAGGCAAGGGTACAACATTAGGCAAACAAATAAATGCAGTCAGACACAGCTTATGTGATAAATAGCTGAATGAAGGCTGACGACGCCTAGCTACTGTTTGCCGAACAGGCGCCTCGAAACCTTTTCTCTGCTGCCTTTCGTTTTGTCAAATGATGCATTTGCGAAGTGCAACGCCAATAAATATAAATTTTTCTCTGCTGCTGGTTTTGAACGTTCTTGCGCGTCGTCCAGTCTCGCGTTACCATTTTCCCTCCTTTCTATATATATGTATATGTCCATATATATTTTTCTCGGTCCAACGGTCGCATCTTGTGGATCAAAAATTTTTGGTCTGCCTTTCATTGTGTACTTGTCACTTTATCTTCGGCTCCTGCTGCTGCGGTTGCTGATCGTTGTGGCCTTTGTCCCAGGCCAATCCAGTAAGTGCCCACAAGCTTCGTTTGCCTGCCTGCGCCTTCTTCTCCTTTTATTCGCCTGTTAGGTTTTCGCAAGCATTCCTCCTCACCCCTTTATCGTGCGCTATCGCCGGAGCTATATTTTAGAGGACCAACTTTGCATAATAATGGAGCATTGTGCCGGTAGGCTTCTTTTTGTTCCTACCTCACATTTGCCCCTCCTTGCTTCTTGTCCGTCCTCTTTCTGTCATAATCTCTAAGAGGTATGACGCCATGTCATTTTTCTCCGGCCCATTCAACGGTGACTGAGCCTCCATCCTATATTATATACGTGCTTAGAGGTTTGTTCTCGTTGCTGCCGCTGGTTAGGAGGGGATATGCACAAGCGAATTCAGCGCCACCGGAAGCGTAATGAAAGATTTCAAGAGGGCCAAATTGTGTTGTGGCTGGCCCAGGCTCTCCTTGGGCTTAAGCATCTTCACGAAAGACACATACTGCACAGAGGTATACTTTTCTTTCTTCCTTTCGCCATGTTTCTCTACTGCCCCTTGCGCTGACCTTCCTTCAGCTGTCCTGCGTCGATGCTTGCCTCATTGATTCCGTACTCTACCGTATTCTAACCTGAGCCTCTGCTGAAAAGCGCCTGACACCGCTCCTGCGTTTCCCTTTCACCAGCATTTGCCTCGTATTTCGATTCTCCTGCTGCTGCTGCTGCTGTCGCTGTTGATTTCCTTGCAGACTTGAAGCCTCAGAATTTGTTTCTGAATGAGAGAGATGATTTGCTGATCGGCGATTTCGGTATCGCAAAAATGTTGGACTCGACGCACTGCTGTGCAAAGACTACCATCGGCACTCCTTATTACTTTAGCCCGGAGCTATGCCAGGTGTGATAAAAGCAACAGCAAGAGAAGCGACAGCAGCATTCACGACAGTGTACTCAGTGCCTGCATCAGCCGCTGCTCTAGAGCCTCTGCTGTTGCAGCATATTGAAAGCATATGTGACTGCAACTACAAGGTCTACGAGAGCCGCTCTGACAAGTTCCCTCGCTACTGATCATGCGCATCTATCTTATCGATTTCTGCAAAGCTTTGATGCTGTATATGCCGAATTTTGCTGTTGGTTTGGCCATCCTTCTGTGGACTGTGCTTTGCTTCCTGTTTTCAAGTGCCGTCCAGGTGTATGTACGTCTGTTTTCTTTTTCCTTCCAGATATTTCAAACCCAAGAGACTAACTGTACGTGCGTTCTGCCTCTTTGCTGCTGCAGCAACACCAATACTCATTCCCCTCTGATGTCTGGTCCCTTGGCTGTATTGTCTATGAACTTGTACGTTCCAGATGGACAGAAAACGCTCACCAGCAGAGCCGCAGCAACAGCAAAAGCAGTTCAATTACAGTAGCAGCCCATTACTAATTTGGAGCGCCACACCAGAAATAGTGGCAACGCCAAAAACAACACCAGCAAGTGGAGCTCGAGAGCAACAGCAAAAGCACTTCAACTACAGGAGCAGCCCATTACTAATTTGGAGCGCCACACCAGAAATAGTGGCAGCACCAAGAACAACACCAGCAAGTGGAGCTCGAGATGAAAGCGAAGCGTTGCTTTGCGTAAAGTTGGATGGAAAAGTTACTCTGTGTGTCTGTGATGCTTTGCGCAGTGTTCTCTTGCTGTCCCCTTTAGGGCTCAAAACCTAAAGAGCCTTGTGAAGGCAATTTCAAGCACCCCCGTAAATCAGTTTTGGCAGCTCAGAGCTTCTGATTCTATTGAACGTGCAGCGCTGCTGCAGCGAGTGAACAGCAGCAGCAAAGTCATCAATATAAAAGAAGCACCTTGCTTTTGCCTGGCTGCGGCATACACGTAGTGTCTATCCATTAAGTAACTGGCGTTATAGCTGCAGATAGTCTTCCGCATTGTAATGTAGGAGCCTTCGTACAGATGATTATGTCTGTGCTGCTTCTGATGCTGCTGTTGGGGTCCGCTTTACTACTGAAGGCGCTGTTCGGGTGTCCTCGCAGGTGCCTGCCGTCCCGTCAGTCTATTCGGCAGAGTTAAGGCAACTAGTAACCGATATGATGCAAAAAGACCCCAGCCGGCGTCCTACAGTCCGGCAAATGGTGACGCTGCCTTTTATTCAGGTGGGTTTGCCCTCAGCTGTGACGCTGCGGTTCCTCCAGGCATTTCTTCACTTTCTGTAGCTCGCACACTTCTGCGGGGTCATCAGGTACTGTCCCTGACTTTCCTGTATGCTTGTCTCGATAGGCTGCCATACGCGAGATGATAGACAGAGCCTCTTGCGAATCGCGCACGCGCTCTCAGACCGCATCTCTGACTGCCAAGTTGGAGACACCAGTAGGCAGGCAAAGGTGAAAGAGGCACACTCGAAGCAAATTAGCCCATGCGAGATGCACATACACCCCAACTCCTGGTAATTGACAACTCTTTTCGTGCCTAAGGGCTGAGAAACATTGTCTGTCTACATGGCTAGGCAGCTCTGAATACTGTTACGTGAACAGAGGGCCTTAGAGAAGCATATCAAGGCACCTGACCCACAGCAACTAGCATTCCCTAATGAGGCCCAGGAACACAACAGTCCCGTGGTGTGCGCAGTCAGTGCCTCTGGCGGCCGCTGGGATGCGCGCGCCCTCGGCCTTGGGTGGGGATGGGACGGGGGGAGGGATGAGCTACAGCAACTGCAACAATGCATTGTATTGGCCAAACAGTAACAACGCTACAGCCGCGGCAGAGCAAAGGTAGAAAAAACACAAAACTGGCTCGGTTGCCGCAGGTCAGTTGCGCCTTGCCGCGCACTCCCACGAAAACAGAAACAGCAGCAGCCGCACTCGGCATTCATAGTGCAGCAGAGAGTGCAGCGGACCCTAAATCGCTCCGCTCCGAGCAAGAAAAGATAAAGCCGGCCATATTTGGCACTACCGAAGTGTGTCTCAGCTAACTCTGCTGTCGCTGCTGCAGCAGATGACGACATGGCGAGACGAAAACCAGGGACAAAATCTGAAGCATGCTCTGCAGAATCGACTACAGCTAACAGCAGCTGCTACGAGTTCTGTAGCAGCTGCACCAACCAAAGCAGCGGCTGCAGCACAAAATGCACGCAATAGAGCGTCCTAGAACCTGATAAGGTAGTCGAGGAGGCCCCTAGCAGCCTTCGTGTCTCCAACTTTCCCACAATGCGCCAAATATCCATCTGGCCTGATGAGGCAGAAGCCGCAGCTGGCCTCAGCACCGTCAGAGGCGTGCGGGTCAGCTAGGGATAAACCAAATTTGCTCTGTAGATCGCTGAGGAAGTCTATGAGGATGAACCCTCCACTGCCTTTGCTGCCGCTGCTCGCCTGCTGCATCTGCTGCAGCAAAGCAGGTGGCAGGAGTTGCAACAGCGGTCGCTCCACAAGGTGACACTCTTCCACTTCGACCTTTGCGTTGGATGCCGCTGCCGCCGCAACCGGGGATCCTGAAGGAAGCCGGGCCTGCTGCTGTTGCTGCTGGAGAATCGAACGACTTTTGGCGGGAGGGATGCAGCGCGAGTTGCCCCGCACAATCTCTGAAGTGATGCTGGTTGATGTGGCGGTTGTGTGCACAGCAGCTGTGGGCCCGTGGAAACACCACACAACGCGCAAGTCCGAAGCCCATAGCTGTCTCTCCGTAGCTGCGGCTGAGGCACCGCTCGCTGTGGGGCACTCCGTGTGGCGTCGCAGGACTCTGCCTCCAACAGGAGCACCACCCGCAGCGGACGCTTCAGCAGCAGCAGCAGCTGCTATTGGTGTCTCGAGACCACGCCTTGAACTCAGGGGCCTACTGTTAGCACTGCCCATTGAGATATCTCTGCCACTGTCAGCTCCATAAAATCCGTCCTCATATGCATCGTCATCGTCTGTCTCTGAATTGCTGCTTCCCGCTCCCCTGCGCCAGCTGCTGCTGCCAAGACCCGTTTCGAGGCCGGCAGGGAAGTCTACGAAGTCTGCTGCTGAAAACGGAGCGTGGAGGCTCTGAGCTGCTGTTGCAGAGACATTAAATGACCCGGAAGGCGAAGAGTTGAGGTCCTTACCTACTGGAGATGGAGCCGCAGATGAAGCACCCTTGGCTGCAGCCAGAACTGCCAGCTGACAAAGTCGCGCTAGAGTGCTTACTGCCTCATTGTTGTACCGTGCTGAAGCGTATCAGTAGCAGCAGTTAAAGCAGCCAAAGTGCTCAAAATGCACGCATGGATAGACTGTTCAACAGTGATTATGCTTTAACCGATTCACGGGCAAACGAAAACCGACGGCGGAGGCATTTGCGTGGGTGAGTATATGTGTTCCGGAGCTTAAAATGTTAACGCACAGTCGCGCACGCATACTTTTAGTACCTAGGTACGACACTATACACATATATATAATGCAAGACCATACACACACTTGCACAGGTATGCGTGACGATATATCTGCACACGCTGCGGTAACAGCGACAGCTCCCGCAGTGACTACGACAAGCAATCTGCTATCAAGACATCCCAACGCGCCCAATTCCCACCCCAAAGCCAAGGCGAAAATTCCACAACACACAGTGGCATCAGAAGGGCGCACTATAGCAACAGCATCAGCAACTGCGACATCAGCAACACGGCACGAGCAAGAGCATCGTCCAATGTAGGAGAGCTAACGACTCACAGACAAGGGGAGCTCCCGCTATTTCACATCCGAATATGTTTTGCTTTCTGGCTCCTGGCGGCAGAAGCATTATATGGAGCAGCAACAGATGGCGACCTTTGCCCAACAGCTCGAAAAGGTAACCAGCCACGGGGTCTGCTACATCTGGAGGATGCATCTTCGGGAACTGTGATGACACAACAACAAAGCAACTGAGCAGACAACTACTTCGCAAGAACAACCACATAAAACCACACGACCCCTGCGGGATCCATTCCTGCTAAAGCTGCCGCCTGAAGAGCCACTTGCAAGTCAGGGAGCGGTAGCACGTGTCAGGCTTTCGCATCAGTAGCAGTGTATAACACGAAACACTAGATGCACGTGGACATCAAAAACATGTAAAGCACCGCGCTGCTCACCCGAGCAACTTTGACGAGGCAGTCTGGGGCTCTGCAGCCAGGCTTCAGTCCCGATATGAAAGACGAATCGCCGTTCCCCAAAGCAATACTGCGGCACAAAACGTCAACAAGAAATCCATCAAGCTTGCGTCCAGCACACAGCATATGACTTTTAAGAGCCTATTCAGCTGCATTGCGTCTTCCCGAATGAGAAGCTGCTAGCAAGTCCCGCTTCTCCCGAAGTGTAGGATAGTGCATCCAAACGTAATATCTACGAGTGCACCGCCTATTTAATTGCTCTGTGGCTTGTAAGTTAAGCTATTTGACAGCAGCTGTAAGGCACGCTTTGTTTGACTTGCCTTGGCTGCGGGTAAGAAATGCGAGTCATCAGCAGCGTCTGCCCAAAGCTCCTCGCAGCGCTCGGCAAGTGAGACGCAACGGCAGCCCCCATGCGCAGTAAAAGCCTGGAAAGAAGCCCTGAAACAAGAACACGAAGAAAAAAAACGCAAAATACCATGAATAGGGGGTGAGCAGTGGCGCCAAAGTCGCGTAGCCTTTGCAAAGCAAGCAACAGCCATGCTGCTTGCACAGTTCAAAAAGAATACATACTGTAAAAGACAATGACGCAGCTATGTATGAATGAAGCGAATGCGTAACGTGGGAAGTCTTCGTACAGAACTGGCAGCAAGAAAAGGTCTTGACTGCGTCTCACCGCCGGAGCCGTTGGCCGAAAGGACAGACTGGAAAAAACGGTCGGATAGCCCCACGACTTGCTCTGTAACCAAAATCGCGAGAACAGAAACACTAGAAACATGACAGCACAAGCCACCATAACTAGGTAGTGTAACCTGTGATAATCATTACAGTGTCCCTTCGGCAGCAGCAAGCGGCAGCAGTTTTGGCTGCAGTGTGTGCCTCTACTTGAATAATTGGATCGTGTGCAGAGGCACAGTGGGGTTCGCCTCCTCATTTTTGAGAGCCTGCTTAATTTCTCCATCACCTTTCTGTCCGCAAACCTGCTGGTGGTTGCCGCTGCTACTGCTGCAGTAGTAGCTCAAAACATGGCTGGTCGCAAGAGCTACATACCTGCTGCTTGTTTCGCCTCTTCCGAGTAGGAGTCTAGCAGCTGTGGAGAAGCACCATGGCGAAGCACGCGGGCTAACTTCCATCCCAAATTGTACGCATTCTGCAATAGCAAAGACGCATGCACGTTTGCATACTGCCCTTGTTTCGCCCGATTCAAGGTGTAACACTATGTGGCCACTGGCAAATAAACAGTGCAAAGCATCAACTAATATACATCTGTAAAAACAAGTATACCCCAGTATTTCTGTGCGTGTGCGTAGATCCCATGAATACAAGAGCGCATGCAGTTTTCCTTTGCACTAAAGTAACAAACCGCAAAATTTTTCTAAATTCAACATCTTTGAAGCTGTTTTGTTGTTTCCTGTCTATATTCTACAAATCGTTCTCTGATGCCACAAAGGCCTTCGAAATAGTAGCACGAAGTTACAGAGGGGCGGAATTGACAGGGCTGCCACTACAAGCGTGACAGCTTAAGCGTACGCGGCACAACTCCCATGGAAGCCCCACAAGAAGTCCCCCAAAAACCCAAGTCCAAACGTGTGCACAAATAATCGAAAGCACTCAAAACCACTACAAACCGCAGGGAGACAAAGTACAGACGACTACGCAGCAAAAGCCACCAAAGACAGATGAAGCCAAACAAAACCTTGTGTCATGGGCAGGACAGCCAGAAATTCACTAACCTGCATGCCTAGATTCATTCCTTGTCCCAATATTGAAGGGTGAACATGCGCCGCATCACCCGCTAGCAGCAACCGTTTGCGACGTAGCACAGAAGCCATTCGAACCGCCGACTTGTACACTGCGGACCAGTAAACCTCCGTCACTCGGCAGCCAACGAATATCTGAACAATCGTAGGATCAATTGCGGCAGCTAGTAGGAAGTTACACATGCCAGACAAACTTAGCATAGAAAATGTTTCTCTGCGCGGGCTGCAACCAGCAGGAGTCAGGGCCCTGATGCACTTGCTGTTGGCAAAACAAAGGACTTGAGTTGCTGCTAATGCGCGAGCCGCTGCTGCTATTCCTACTTGCTGTAGCTACTTTCTGGTACCTACCCGTTCGACCTGCTGCAGGAGCTCCTCGCGTGTCTCAGCTTGCGACTCCTGTCTCCGCGTGTCGTTCTCCCCAGCCACAGCAGCAGCAGTCGCAGCAGCAGCAGCAGCAGGGGCGACAGCAGAGTCGGTGAACGACATCGCATGGCTAGGAGCAAGAGCGGCCATTGATGGGATCTTTTCAGTAACGACCCTCCATCGGAATGCTGATGTGTCCACGGGTCTTGTACTGCGCCGGTGCATCAACAACTGCTGTTGCCTGAAGCTTCTACTGCCGCCGTAACTGCCACTCTTGCGGCTCCCAAAATCTGTAGCCTGGGCCACGGCTGACGCTGATGCAGTCTTCAGCATTGGAATACACGCAGCAAATCCCTTTGAGGTCAGGTGTATCTCCACCGCATCCCCTGTAGCAGTTCGTCTTCCTGAGGCCATCAGCCGAGCCCTCTCTGCCTCTCCTGGCTCCAGAGCGGCAGCAGCTGCTGCATGCAGTCTTTTGCCCAAACCAGAGAGAAGCCCTTCACCCCATAAGCCATCGACAGGAACTCCCAGGCCCCCGCAGCCCAGCAGCTGGCAGCTGCTCGCCTCTTGCTGTTGTTGCTGCTCCCAAGAGGACAGTGTCAGTGGGACATCATCCTCCGCCTGCTGATGCCTGTTTGCCAGTTGGAAAGGGCTGGCTGCGAAGGCCTGCGTGCGGTTTCCATTAAACTCCCCTCGAGGTGACTCTGGAGGGGTCCGAGTGGGGGAGGAAGATGCACCCAGCACGGGAGATTGTGCAGGAGATACCGTAGAGCTGCAAGCTGACATCAGTGTAGGCGAAAGCTGCAAATCCGCCACAATGAAAGACCTAGGGTTGGTCCGCTGTTCGAACGAGATGCCCCCCGCCTTGCGCACAGCAGACCTTGGCCCGTCGCAGCCCACGACGTATCGGCAGCACACCACGCCAAATCTCACGGGTGGCTCATCCACGGATGCTGGTGTCGTTGCTGAGAATGATGACGATCCATTGCGTGGGACATAGTGGCCGAAGTGTACAGACACTGGGTAGCCCAACTGGCCGTTGGAACTGTCCCTCCGTGAAGCGTGCCCACCAGCTGTAAAGGCCGGGAAGAATGATTCTTCCTGCTGTTGCTGCTCCTGTCGCGGCTGTTGCTCCTGTCTGTGCACCTTCTGCGGTTCTGCATCCGCCGTCACCTGCGGCTCGTCTGCAACTTCATGAGGAGAGCGGAAGGAACTGTGATCGGAATCCTCCTGCGTAGTCAAGGTCGATTCTGTGCTCCGTTGCTGCCGCTGTTTTTGCTGCTGTGGTTGCTGCTGCTGCTGTGAACGCTGGTCAACAGGGAACGCGCTAGGTTCGTCTGCATCGAATCCTTGAATTTGCCACACGGCAACAGGTCGGTGGACCTGCAGAAGATGGTAAAAACACGAGCAGCGGAAGTGAAGTGACAACAAGGGACCAGTACCTACAGAAGAAAATCTCAAAAGGCAGCAGAAGGCTGCAGAAACCCAATAGATCTCCAAGTAAAATACCCACAAACCCACCGTGCGCAGCAGCAGCAACTCAGCGGCAATCTGGAAAAAAGCAACTGCAGCGCTATGCAGCAGCAGCACGAGCATCACCAGCAGCGGACCTCATGTCCCAGTTGGTTGAGCCTTCTCTCTAGGATCTGGCAGGTGGTGGCCTGTGGCAGGATGAGGGCGAACGGAAAGGGGCTGCCACTGCTGCAGGCTGCGTTGACTTCCGGAGCATCTGAAGAAGCAGTTAAGCTGCCGGCCAAAGAGGCCAAAGCCTTCAAGGTGGGAACCCGCACGGGCGCAGCAGCCGTTTCTGTGTCTCTTAGGGGCACTGAGAGGCTCTTGCGCCCGCTCACCCATAACTCGAACGCGCGGCAAAGAAGGCCCAAAGTCAAGAAACTTCCCGCAACTCCGAGATCCTAATGACGGGCATGCACGCACACTAAATTCAAACACGTGTCAAAGTGCCTTCTTCCGTGCCTAGCTAGCAAGCAAGAGAGCTACTCAGCTAGCTGCTTGGTCTTCTGGCTGCAACTTCATAGAAGGCAACTACTTTCAGCAGCTGCTGCTGGAGAACACAATTAGGCTGGCCACGCAATATCTCACTAGACCAAAGGAGCAGCCACACACCTCGAGAATCTCTAAAGTCCGCGCATGCACCGTCAGCGAACGGCTCTCCTGGGGCGTGCATGGGGCTGCATCGACAATGACAAAGGATACACCTTGAAGTGCCAAAGACAAGGCAAGAGTCAAACCCGCAGGTCCAGCCCCTACAATTACCACGTCCGTGTACAAAGGCAGGCCGCTGCCGCTGCTGGGGTTGCCGCTGTGACTGCTACCATTGCGCATCAGAGGCGGGATGGACATGTGGCTGTCCCCTCGCTCCTGCTGCTGCTGCTGTCCATGGGATCTCCGGCGTTGCTGCTGCGGGGGTGCCGCCCCCACGTCTCGCCTAGCATCTCTAGGCAGACTAAAGGAGGAGCTCTGGCTACTCATTTTGTGGGTGGCTCTTCTTCGTTACTAAGGCTGCCTGCCCAGCTACTACGGCTTCTTGTGGCGCTGTTATCGACAATCTTGTTATGCTACTGCAGGCCGAAATCGGCAAACAGGCACTATGGCGCTCCGCCCACTCAAACTAGGCCTGGGAAGGCTCTAGTGCTTCTGGTGGGTGTGTGCCACTCTCCTGTGTGTAGCTGCAGCGCGCTAGACAAGGGGAGATCGATGCATTGAGGCACTTCAGTTGTGGCTTCTTCCGCTGCTACTTCTGCTGGTCGTGCCGCTGCGCCTGCTGCTGCTGATGCGTCAGAGTGGCTTTGAGTGCCTTCCACTAGCAGCTGCGCACAAAACCTGTTGCCTTTGATTCCGCCACTGCTGCCACTACTGGTCTGCTGCCGAGGCCGCCCACGGTATGCAGCTCCTCATCGCGGGCATGGCTGGTGCACACGGCTACAGCTGTTGTTCAGGCTGCCGGGGCTCCTGCTGCCGTAGGTGCTCCCGTTGCCTCTCTGGTGTCTACTTCATGAGCCCATTAATCTCTCGCAAACGTCTTGTCGCTTTCCTATGCATGCAGTCGGCGTTTCTGCAGCTGCTGCGGCGGTGGCCTCTGGTCCTAATGATGGCTCGAGCGCTCGCCAGCAGTGTCCACACGCCGGAACGTCTTCCGTGGGTCTCTGCAACCTCTGCTATCTCTTCTGTTTGATGCGCTTTGACATATGTACTTTCAGGACTTCTAAAAGTATAACGAACTCGACGCAGCACGAATGGCTAGAACAAGGCCCTACTGTTGCTGCTGCTGCCGCTGTGGCTGCAGCTGTTGCTGCTGCAGTCCAGGGGATCTAGGGCGAAGCATAAAAGCAGGGGCTGGGCCATTTCTTTCCGTTTTGTTTGAGAAAAGTACACCTGTTTAAAGAAGAAGGGATTGCTTTACGACGGAAGCTCAACACAAGCAGACAAGCAGTGCTAGGTAGTTCCCCAACAGCAGCAGGAACAGCACCAGAGCAGCAGTAGCAGAGCAGCAGCAGTACACGCCTACAACGCGTGTGGCCAATGATGCGCGTCGTATCCCTACTGCGTTCCCTTCTCCCATTTGGGCCCCGAATTTATACTTATTTTCTATGCTCGACTCAACCATAAGCAAGCAAATACACAAAATCCAGCCCCCGCACCACTGATAAGCGTACACACTAGGCTAGTCGGGCAGCGGGAGCAGAGACCGCTAATTGATGTGCAAGTGAGTAGCAACGGGCTTCCTTGCGGAACTTTGTGGGCTGCTTAACGCAGAATAATAAAGCACATAAAATTTGACATCTCTGCCTGCTGGATGTGCGAACCACTGGCCATTTCGCTGCTTGCTAGCCGCCTGCCAAAAATCTGTTACATGGGGCACCATCGCTGTGGGGAGCGCTGTGGAGGGTGTGCATGCACAGCTTCAGGAAACACTACTCTACAAACCATATTTGAGGTGACTGAGATGCATCACAGTAACAGCATAGTCACTGGAGCCCCATTTAAAGGGCGCGCATGGTGCCCCAAGAGCACACGGGTTGCCCCACAGATCTAGCCAGAAGCTCGGGCAAGAGGCAAGGCAGGCTTCCCCGTGGTTTACTATTGCTATTGAGCTAGCTTGAACTAAGCAGCCACTAGGTCGCCGCTCTGGCAAGTAACTGGCGAGTTACTGCTAAGCAAGGGCACTTTGAACCCTGTACCGCGTTCCCGCAGAACCGCAACCATCGGGTGCTGTCTGCTGTTGGGTCACCACAGCAAACGCTTGCAAGCAACTATATATGCAAGCCCTTATTTGTCGCAACAGCAACTGTCCTACCGCCACTGATGAACCGACGCGTCGTGTCCACCTGGCACCCTTCATATCTAGCTAACCGTGCAGTCGCCACTTCAACATCTTAGCGGATGAAGACAAGAACCTTGAAGCTCCCAAAATGTAATGCAACGCGCCGCTTCGAGCGCAAAGTGCGGCGGGAGTTGGTGGCAACAGCAGCAGCTATGCTGATTTGCTGTCGGCGCAGTGGGGCACGAGCCAATTCGCCACGTGTTGAGTAGCCATAAGTACAAACCAAATCAGCTTTTATCTTCAGTTCGTTCGATTCGTATAGAAAGAGCTAGCTGACTTGCTAGCTTGGTCAACCTCTTGCTAGCTAACTAGCTACCAAGCCCCAAGACCACAGATTTTGCCGCTACCTGTGTAGCACGCATTGGGAAAAGGGGGGATACCTGGACATCAAAACTGCAAACCCACTAGACTAAGAAATCGTAAGCTGCAACCACAGCAACGCGAAGCAGTGGGTGCAGCTCACGTGCAGGCCCCCCTGCACGTGTCACTGGGCCAGAGTGCCATCATTGTCGTTACTGCTGGCACTACTGCAGCAGAACTCTGCTGTTCTTCTTGTACACTGCTACGCGCCGTGAGCCACAAGCAGTATTAATCCAATTCCCAGAAAGCCGGAGGGACGTTTCTGGACCTGAAAGAGGTCACCTGCTCCATTGTTTCTGCAGATAGTTCGCCTTGATGAACAAAGCAGTAGCCAGCCGGGGGAGCCCCCAGCTCCACAGCAAGATCCTGAAATGCAAACAGAAGCAATGCAACAGCGAGAGCAAGGGTCAAGGGCAAAGCAGAAAGCAAAGCGGCAACTAGCTTTCCGCATACTGGCAAGCCTGAGCTGCCTCGCTAAAACCTCTCGTGCAAATAGAATGCCATTGCGGAGTGCCATGACATACATTTCTCTCTTCCTTGCCAGATCGGCAGAGGCTCAAGAAAGGCTGCAACTCTTCTTCTCGCCACACGGTCTTCGTAGCAAACGCAGCTACAAGACGCTCCCTCAAAGTCAACGGGAGTTCTGCAGCTGGCAGCATCAGAAGCTGCCCTTCAACTGCAATGAAAAATCCGCGGAGAGGGGACAACAGCATGCCTTGCACGAACGCGCGCCTTTCTTCTGCGTCTGGTAACAATGCAGCAAACTGTCGGGTGCTGCTGCTTCCCCCTGAGGCCGCTGATGCAACGGATGCAGCTGCTGCATGCATCAGCCTTGCTGTTGCGGCTGCTGTTTCGAGACCAACTGATTCGCCGTGAGGCGGACGGTTGCCGTACAGAAGACACGTGGGGATTGCACGCTGCTGTGCACGCTGCAGCGAAAAGTCGGTGCGTAAGTCAGGAAATCCGTAAGTGCAGCAACGCAGGAGAGACGGGGCTGAGAGGGGGTAGCTAGCCGTTTGTTGCAGCTGTTCCCAGTGAAACCACATTGCTAGAAGCGGTATTCGGTTTGCTGCAGCGAAAAGCAGCTCGTGTGCAGCTTCCTGCTCATTTTGCTGCTGCTGACATTCAGCAGCAATGACAGCAGCTGCAATTGACCTCAGAGCAGCTATGCGATTTCGCATGTGTTCCTTTGCCCACTGCAGTATCCTGACCGGCACTTGCTGCCATAGCTTTCCTAGATTTACGCAAAATTTCTTTACCTCTACTGCAGTGACTGCAGAAGACAAAGTATAAGTCACACCATGTTTCAGCTGCAACGGCAACCCCACACGTTCGGCTGTCTCTGCGGCTAGCAGGAAATGCAGTTTAAGGGGATTCACTGCGGCCTTAGTTTCCTTCGAAGCAGCTGCATCACTCAGGACCTTCTCCAAACCATGTAGCAAATCTTCTAGGTCACCGTTCACATTTACCGTTGCTGCTGCCGCGGATTCCGTTGAAAGAGGAGGACAACTGTCGCCCAAGGCTGTCGGATAGCTGCTGCAGCAGAGCTGCGGGAGCCTCATGTCACAGAAAAGCCTCAGCAGCTGCAAAAGCAAGCCAGCTGTCAGCAGCGGCAAATTCTCATCTGTATCCGTTGTACTGTCGCCTGCTGCTGCTGCTGATCTTCCTGAGTGGGCTTGTACGCGCAATCCCGGCACAGCCAAGCCGTGCCTTTGCACGCAGTCCGTAATGGCCTCAAGGGCCCACCCAACACTAAACCATTCGCTGCTGCCGCTGTTGCTACTGCTGCTGCCTAAAGCCAAGCAGTCCATAATACGAAACAGCCACTTTCGCACCGTGGCGGCAGAGACCACGAAATAGCCGCCCACATCTGGGTCGTAGAGAATAGCACGTGAAGTGACAGCAGGAAGAGAACCCCACATACTAGGAAGCTGCCGCAAAAGTTGCTGCAGGCAGTGGCTCTGCTGCTCTGCAACTTTCACCGGCCCTCCCCCTTGCGATGCTGCAGGGGTTGATGCTGGAGTTGCTGTTTGGTAGAAGTGCCCCAATGACGGCAAGCCTGCATCACCCAGCAGAACTGCTGCTATCTCCGCTGGGGAAGCTTGAACTCGCTGCAGCAGCACTGCCGAAGAAAGCACTGAACGGCCCGCAGCGACGGCTGCTGGCGGCACTGAATTCGGGTATGCAGCCAGCAGTTGCTGCACTGGCAACTGCAGCAGCTGCTGCACCTGGTAAATCCGCCCCCGTGACTTCTCTAACTGCAGCACAGACCTGCAGATGCCTACAATTGCAACACCATGAGTACCGTTCCGTTGGTCGCTCTCTTTGTCGGTTTTTTTGTCATCAATGAGCATGCAGTCCCCTGCGTCACTGCGCGGTGCTGCCTCCCTGCAGCAAACTAACACCTCCCCGTCTATAGTGTTCTGTGTGACAGAAAAACTGCTACTCCGGCTGCAAATAAGTGTTTTGCTTTCGTCCCGCATTTGGGCAGCACTGGGAGGAATGGGGAAAGCGGTAGGCCGGCCCTTCAGCAGCAGTACTCGCTGTGCGGCTTGCTGCGTTTGCCCGAACTGCAGCTCATTCCGCAGTTCATTACTCAGATTGAGCAGCTGCCACGAGTTGTGCATATGCTGCAGCTGCCGGGAGGCAGCTACGAGCCACAGAGCATCACTATCGGTTTCACCGGGTGCTGCTGCATCTGCTGTTGCGGCAGCTGCAGCCGCGGCAGCAGTAGCTGCTGCTACGGGGCCCAGCTGTGGCTGCTGCTGTGGCTGCTGCAGAGGTGACACATGCGCGGCCTGAACAGCAAAAGCCTCTTTGAAAGGGTTTAGTTCTGGAGCGCTGCAAAAGGAAACGGTGTTCTCGATAGCACCATAGAACTCCCAAGCTTCCATGTGCGCAGCAGCAGCCTTATCTGCAGCGGAAGCCGCATCTGCAGCAGCGGCATCCCCGTCCTCTGCTACTGTGTACGTGCAGCCAGACACGTCTAAAAGGAGCGGACGCCGCACCCGCCGCAGGACTGCAAGGGTGCATGGGCCGTCTGCAGAAACAAAGGGGGCCACCTTCCCCTGTACGCTATCTCCTCCCACGTAGAGGCAGCAGGGTCCGCTGTCGCCGGCCGAAGCAGCAGCAGCTGAAGGCCAGCGTACTATGCCCCAAAGCTCGCACTCAGGCGATTCCTGCTGCTGTCCTTCATTTGCTGCTGTTTCGGGAGGTGCCTGCAGCGGCTGCAAGTCGGCTGCAGCTTTAGTTGGATCCTGAGTGGATAAAAGGGCCTCTCCCTGCAGAAAACGGCAACACGAGGGAGCCAGGAGTGCAGACATCCTCGATACATAGCCTCACTGTTAACAGTGCATCAGTGCTTCTTGCAAGACAGTGTTCAGCCCTGATCAGAGTATCCACCGAACCATATTAGATGCAGAAGCAGGTGCCGTAGCATGCTCACCTGAAGGTCTATAAGACAAAGATTACTGTTTGCAGCGGTATCTTGAGGCCACAGTATTGCTGTCAATGAAGCATCTTGCAAAGTCTTCTCCTGCAAAGCGACAGTTGGGGCCCTTTTATCAGTGTCGCGCACATGGGGCCCTTCGGCCCCCAGTGGGCTACGAGGCATGGACTTTGCTGTTGCTGCTACTGCTGTTTCTTGTGGTGCAGCTGCTGCTCTGTGAGAAGCTGAAGGGCAACGTGCAACGGGGCAGACCCAACAGACGCACGAGGCTGCTTGCTGCAACAGCGATGCATTTGGGAGCTTTTATATTTCATCACCTCAAGTGCAACCAAGATACAGCTTAATGGCAGCACAGGGAGCAGGATGTGAGGGACCGGCAGCAGCCCCAGTAGGGCTGCCGGGGGTGGGGTTTGTTGTTTCGCCCTGCGGCTGCAGCTGCTCCAACCAGATCGCTAGCTAGGATCATATTTCAAAGCCGTTTCCGATAATTTTTGCTGAGCAGATGCACCTGACGGAAAAGTGGCTCCGTGGTATGGTGTAACTGCTACTCCAGCTACCATCCGCAGCAGCAACAGCCTCAGGACAACAGCAGGACAGGGACCTTGAGTCTAGCCTAGCCACGCAAGCACCCCCATTAGAAAGCGGGTGAACCACAGAAACTCTCCTGAAACAGAGCGAGGAACTGATTGGCTGTACCTGTCGAATGGAACGCGCTGCAGTAGGCAGCTAAAGCACATAGGGGCATGTGAAGCCGCAGCTAAAGCTACAGCAAGAGCACCGTCGGCTGTTCCAGCAGTCACGCATCCATTGAGCATGAACCAGGTGAGTTCCTGTAATATGCACGCGTGAACAGACAGGCAGGAGCTGGACCTAGGGAGTGAGGTGTCCTGGTCGCCGTGCATCCTTCTGAGCACACTCCTAACCTCTTGAACACCAGCAGCAGCAGAAGTCCCAGCACACCGAAAAGTTACGGAGACGTAGCTGGAAGGGAGGGCTAGAAACGGGGAAGGAATGGGGTAATAGCAGCCACATTGACGGAAACAACGGCAGCACAAACACTAGTGGCAACAGAGACGCCATGACAAGCATGGACGGAAAAGTTGCGATGTGTCATTCGGTTTCATAGAAGCACGGAAGCAGCAGCATAAACAAGAATAGCACCACTACCAGCAGCTGCAGCAGGACAACAGAGACCAAATGTCGTGGCGCCAGCAGTACCACTCGCGGGCGAAGGTACAAACTGGCGTGCTGAGTTGCTGCAAAAGCGGCACCAACAGCAGCAGCAGCAAAAATAGTGGCAACATTCATTTTGCTTGTGCATGCATCGGTTCGAGCAGGAAAGCGCCTTGGTTGGGGACAGGGCGCAGCTAAAGCGGCAGCGGATGCTGCTTTGGCTGCAGTGGCAATGCAGCAACAGCAGCAGGAACTGAATCAGCGGCAGCAGCAAAACGATTTCCAATATGGTGTTGCAGGGGAACCGTTCTGGAGTGGTTGCTGCACCCACAATGTGCGGCTTGGCAGCAATGAGGAGCAGCATCTGCAATTGCTGCTGGAGTGCCGGGACGCTTGCTGCGGCTGCTACTGCACAGGAGTGGGGTGCCCAGACCTGCATGCACTGGCTATTGAGTGCAGCAAAACGATGTCAAAGGTGAGGGCTTAAGAAGTTTCGGCAGGCTTTACTGGGGGACTTGTGCACTCTTGCAATAGACTGATTCAGCGTGTTAGCTGCTGTAGCATTTTCTTAGGATGCGCTTGTGGTCTGCTTCTTGTGCTGCAGCAGAACGCTGCTGCCGGTGCCCTGTCTGTCTGGTTATCGCACTGCCTCCCGCTGCATGACGGTCTCGAGCTCCTGCAGCAGCTTCACAAGCAGCAGCTGCTGCAGCTGCGACAGCAACAACGGCAGCAGCAACAGAGCCAGCTGTTGCAAGATTTTGACACAGCATCCTCCTGCAGTTGTTTCCCTTCGCTTCTGTTGCAACAGAGGCTGCTACTGCAGCATGGGGGTGGCGAAGAGGCACGTGCACTGGCGACGGAAGTGGAGCTGACAGCTGCAGCAGCAGCTGCAGCTGCTGCTGCCGCGGCTCGTTCTTATGGCTCATCAGAACTGATAGAGGCAGCAACGAGTGCGACAGTGCCAGCCTGGATTTCTTTGGGGCTGCAAAACGTAGCGTCTGCCGTTGCTCCGGGGCTCCTGCCGGTAGCTACTCACGGCCTTCAGTTGCCAGCAGGCAATGACGGCAGCAACGGCAGCAACCAAAATGGCAGCAGTATGTTTGAAAGGCAAAGAGCTCTTTCGTTGATCCAGCAAATTAATGTAAACGCATTCGCTGTGCTGCTGCGCATGGGACGCCTGGAGGAAGCTGCCATTTCTGCATGGTGAGGCAGCCTTTGCTGCTATGTTCGCGTTTGCAGCAGCTGGAGCACGCCACTTTGTAGCAACAACGACTGCATGATCAGGCTCACCGGGTGCTACGGGAGCGAATGGCTACGGTCTCATGGTTTGAATTTTAAGGGGTTTAATATCAGTCAGCATTTGTTCTGTCTTCTGCGCTTAGGAATATGGTTCAGGGGAGCGACGGCTCCGGGGCTGCATGCTCACATGCGCTGGCTGCTGCGCTGCTACAGCTGGGCAAACACAACAACTTCGTTGCACTGCAGCTGCTGCTGTTTGCCTTGAGACATGCAGCCCAGCTGCTGCAGTCGTTAGTGATAGCACCGGAAGAATCAGCAGTAGCAAGCAGTGCAGCAGCAGCTCCTCGATTCGTATCTACTGCGTCTGCGACGGCCAGCCAAAGGGCAGCAGCCGCAGTGGCCGCTGCAGGTGGTTGGGCCCACCCTCCCGCTGCAGCAGCAGTCCCCACATCGACAACACCTTTAAGAATGCTGCAGGTGTGCCGCGGCAAGTCACACTGGCCTGTGCTGCTATCTTTGAATGCTGTTGGAACCGTTGCCCTTCATCTTGCATTACTGTTGCACAATCAGCCCCAGCTAGTAGGCCAGCTCGCTATGGACCCCACACTGCTACTGCAATCCCTGAGGTCAGCTGAACACCACATGCGTCTTATGGCTGCAACACAACCCCTCAAGCTACAGCAGGAACGATGGGAGCAGCAGCAGGCATGGGAAGCACATGGACAGCAGCGGCAGCAATGTCCGACAAGCCCAGCGTCGCCGCTGCACCAACTGCAAGGATCTATGAGGCGCCTGGAGGAACTGCGCCGGCATCATCACCACCAAGTGGACTCGCGACGGCAGCAGCAACAGGAGCTCGCGCAGGGGCAGGAACAGCAGCAGCTTACCCAGCAGCAGCAAGCGTACTCACCAGGAGCAGTAGCTCAGTCGCAAGTGGCAGCGGAAGGATCGCGCCCTTTAAATCGAGAATCTTGTGTGCGCGACTCCAACAACAGCAGCAGCAGTAGCAGCAGCAGTTGGACTGACCATTTGAGGCATTCTGTAGAATTACTCAGAAGTCAGTCTTCTGCAGCTGTTGCTGCCGCTGTCCAGGCAGCTGACTCTGCGGGGGCTGCGGCTACTGCAGATTTACTGTTGACAGGTGCAGCGGCAGAAACAGCTCGACTTACAGGGTCTCCATGGTCTTCTGGTGCTTTGGGCGGCTTCGGAGGTGCAAACATGCCGCAGCAGCCGCAGCAGCAGCGCGGACAGCATGTTGGCAACGTACCTGCGGGCATGTTGAAAGGATCGGGAAACGCCTTCATCTCGTGCACTGCTGCTGCTGAAAGAGCAGAGCTTCAGAATTTAAACTTTGAGGTTCCGTATGCAGACAGTTCAGTGGTGCAGCAGAGGCTTCTGCAGCGCCGGATGCTGCCGGTAGCGGCGGCAACAGCAGGAGCCGCTGCATCAGCCGCTGCAGAAGAGGGAGTGGCATGCTTTTTTGAAATAGCTGATGCATGCGCGCGGCTCATGACTGCGCTATGCTCAGCCGTCGAAACTTCATGCGAACACAGGGACAGCAGCAGCAGCAGCAGCAGCAGCAGCAAGTCAATACCTGGTGATCCGCTAAAAGAGGCTTCTGGAGGGCAGCGGCTCCAGCAACGTCGACTTTCTACTGAGCTTCGGAGCAAGGTTCTGTTGCTGCGGTGCCATATTCTTCTAGGATCGTTGAGTGGAGCGCAGAGAGAGCTGCCTGCAGCAGCTGTACTCCAGCTGAGACCGTTACTGCACCAGCTGCTTCGCCATACGAAGAGCTTGTTGGGCGGGAATCTGGGCATGACTGGCAGACATTGGGGAAGTTTCTGCTGGGACAGCAAAGGCACAGATAGCAACTTTATCCATTGCCGCTCTTCAAGATGCCGCAGCAGAGTGGGACTCATGAAACTGCTAACTGACGAGGACACGCTCGGGAATGCGACGCATGCAGGAATGGACGGGGACATGGCAGCAGTTGCTCTGCTGCTGCTGCTGCAGGCCAGTCACATCTTTCCACGCGTGCTACCCGTGGGGGCTCTGCGTTCTGCAGCAAGCCTTTATACTCCAAAACGCCACGCAAGCAGCTTTTGGGCGTTTCTCGCTGCAGCTCAGGTTGATGCAGTATGCTGCTGCAGTGGTAGGGGCCCGCCGTTGCTTCTCGGGCACGGAACATCAGGGTCCGTGGCGGCCACAGCAGGTTGGCTGCAGGCTTTGGGGCTTGACGCGTCACAGCGTAAGGTCTACTGGCAGCTTCTGCGACTGCACAAAGCTGCAGCAGATGGAGATGTAGCATTAACACATGCAGCAGCCGCTGCTGCGGCAGGCGAAAGCCAAGGGCTTGTCCTGTCTATTTCACATTGGGGAAAGGCACACTTGCTTGCCGGTGCTGTTACTCCACCGTGTGCTGCAAGAACCCTCCTGCTGCAGAAATCTGTTTTACTTGCAGCGGCGGCGGAGCTGCATGTGCCGCTACTCCATGTGCAGCATCTGCTGCGCTGTTACTGTTGCACCAAAAGGCCGGCGCAACAACTGTCAACGCTTGCTGTTGCAGCAGCAGGTGCCGATGCTCCTAATTGCGCATGTTGCTTTCAAGAGACACCTCACGGAATCGCTCTGGCGCTTCTGCAGCTGGACATACAGTTGGACGCATTAGTTGCCATGGGGACTAGCAGCAGCAGCACCAGGCCCGCTGGTTTGGAGCTGCTGCAACAGTTGCACCACAGAGCGGCAGCTGCTTTGCTCGACCAGAAGTGTTTTCTGTACTTGCACTTCCAGCTTCGTATCGCCTTGGTGGAGCTGCTGCTCAGGCGTGTCTCCAGGGCGATACAACTGTTACCTTTGCTACAGCAGCTGCTGCAGCAGTACCACTTGACACAAAGCTGGGCGCTCCAAATGGCTGCTGAGATATCCTACTTAAAGGCAATGTGCTGCTTGCACCTTGGGGCGGTGTTAGTGCAACACCAGCCGCAACCCTTGAGACTAGCGACAGCAGCAAGGCAGCCCACTCATGAGGCTGCAGAACCAGGAGAGCCGCAGCATAACCAGCAAAGTGCATCACCAGAGAGTACTCCTACGTTTTATGCTCGGGGGAATTTAAGCGCCAGGGCAGCACACGATGCAGGTGGGATGAACTCAAGCCGCAAAAGCTCGATGGGAGATGCAGAAGGGTGCACAGAAGGAGCACCTGGACGAGCAGCAGCAGCAGACTCGCTGCTACGTGCAGCAGCAGCCCACGCAGCGAGCGCACTGCGTGAGTGGAGTGCGACTGAGCAAGCTGTAGGGTTACGATGGGGCAGCTTCCAGCGCAAGAGGCACAAAGATATGCTGGTGGCTTGCCTCACCATTACAGCCCTTAAGCTGCAGCAAGCAGCATCTGAAACAACCTTCGCCGCAGCTGAAGAAGCTTCGGTTTCGGAGCAAAGAAAACGTAGCGAAGACCTTCAGCAGGAATTTCTGAAACTGCGTGCTGCTCTGCTAAAGACGGAGGAGATGGATCCACACCAGCAGCAGCTCCCAGATATCCACGCAGGAAAGCAGAGTCGTTCCTGGTGCCGTTGGAGCGACGCAGCAACGGATTTGAGCGACGGAACTTTCAGTAGGCGGCAGCATGGCAACAGGTGCAAGCGGCAAAGGATTGCTTTCGCTGCGGAGAGCGAAGTGGTTCCGATTGAATTCAGAGCTGCAGCTCCTGCAAGGCTGCAGCCTGGTGCAGTTGTGCACCCTTAGATGCATGTATAGCAGCCACGTGGTGACTGAGCATGAAACGAATGACGGCTTTATACGTTTTCCATTGGTAGTGCTTTTACTCCGGTGCTTCTGTAGAGGATCCGGCTGGGTGAACTTTACAGAACTACGTAGATTCGGCTTGCTTTTAATTTCCTTGTTTAATCTGAAAAGATTGCACGTCTTCGGAATACTTTTGAAGCGGTTTAGCTTCTGAAATCAGGCAGCAGCGCCGAAGAGTGCCAGTTAACTTGCTAACGGAAGCCTGCAGCTGTGCATTACTGCCGGCTTTGCTCATTCCGTTTGCTGTAGTTGGTACTAAATTGCTGTAGTGTGATTCAGGGTATGATGGAAGCAAGCAAGTAATGTAAGGGAAATCAGCTATTAGTGCATCGACGTGCTCAAGGGTGCATGGCGAACGTGCTATCTTCTCTATCGAAGCAGTATCTCAGTAAACTCATCATGCGTGAATTAGTTGCGTCAGTTGCGCGTCAAAACATTTGCTGTGAGTCGCCCAGCAATTTGAGCAACGTCTTTCAGCAGTGGCAAATTATTTCGGCGGCAGATGAGCGAATTCCACAATAGCAGATGGTTCAGTATTGGAGCTGTTTTCCTCTGCAGAGCGTCTTAATGACATACGGATGCACGAGGACGAGACAAAAACCTGTAGAGTTTCTCTGGTAGCAAACTGGAACTGTATCTGCACCATTCGCTGAAGTGGGACCACGTAAGTGGAACTCGGAGAATCAGCCTGCTGCAGCTGAATCGCGCTAAAATTTTGAACCATTTCGCTGCATTAGACTTTTTCAGAAGAATTTTACGAGCAGATTGGACAGGCCAACTTTGAAAATCTTGGATTTCACTACGACCATGAAGTCTTGAATCCTTCCTCGCAGAGGCCCACTCATAGTGCCTTTAGCGCATGTGTGTTGAACTGAAGAGCGAAAGCCCGCGCTAGTCTTGTGTTGATGCTGCCTAAGGATCTACCCTGTGGCCAGATGGACACCAGACGCCCCGTGAGAAGGCACGTCACCTTTGTTTGATACGACTGAAGCACTCTACACATGCCAAGTGCTATCGGCACGCTTTTAATCTGTGTTCTATTTCATGTCGCGAGAATGGGACACCTGAGCTGGAGAGCCACTTACGTTGCGAAGGCAACAACATGTTGAACATTGGAAGACGTTGAGCCAAATGAAGCACGAGAGTACGCAATTGTAGAAGGTCCGATATTTCACTGTTGCATTCTCTGTCGATATTTCCTGCCTCAACACCATATTTGGTCTTCATTGTTTTCTTACAGGCCACTGAGGCTTTTTGCAATCCATAATGTTTGGCAGCACATTGTTTCCCTGGGAAGCGTTTTAGAGAAGCACGGGATGTCCCACGTCCGGTAGTTTGCACTATTCCCTTCTGGCTGACCCTAGAAAGTTTCACGCGGCACCAAGAGGCCAATAGAACAAAATCCAACGTATTCAGTATTAAAATGCATCTAATTTGATGACGTAGAATCCTGCAGGGGCTTGTACTACAGCGCTGCAATCCGGTAAGCACGTTTTTTCCATTCCACGGTCAGAAAGTATACTGGACGTCCGTGGACCAGAGAAAGCCCACCGCAGTTGTAAGGGCTTTAGATATCTGCAGTATGAGACACTTGTCGTTGTCCATGCCCAGTGCTCCATAGCAGGCGCAAGACGCGATAATAATTTCGTTTGCACAAAGCGGCAATTCAGAGAAGGACATTTTGCCCAACAGTTCAACGATTTCAGTTCTGCAGCTGGGGTCGATTTTTGACGAGAAGCGCGCTTTCAGAGTGGTCGCAGGCTGAATATCGCTGTGCAACTACTCTGGCAGTAAGCTTCTGCTCGAGGGATTCGTGTTCGTCCCAAGCTGGTTCGGCACAAACGGCACTTCGTGTTGTTAGCATCAAAACCAAAGGTAATTTAGTTTCCATTGAAAAATATTTGCTGCATTGGCGTGAAACTGTTGGTCGCTTCAACTCCTGGCAGTTGTAACCAAGTACTACGCAGCAGTAAGCAAACCGCTGGAACGAGATGGCACGCACAATGTCAGTCTAAGCAGTTATAATTGGATATTTAAGCTTCCGATTAAGTGGCATGCTAATGACCAAGCAAGCTGTTGCAGGGCCTCAGGTGCCAGAGAAGCGTATAAGTACAAAGTAAAAGTAGAGGCTTAGGGTAGTCGAGCCAGCTTCTTACGTTCCACAGTTCCAGAGGCTTCATGCTTCTTCTTAAGATTCTTAAGGATGGGCCGCTCTTCGCTCCACATGCAACTGGTGGAGAACCACTTCCGCCTGTAAAGCTCAGAAAAACGCCACAAGCTCTTCAACCACTAGGGTTCGATTTTAGTACTTAATTACCTGGGCATGCTGAAGCTCGGAAGTTTCGCCCATATAATTGTCAAAAAACGTCCAATTCTGGATAACAAACCAATTTTCTTAGGTCCCTTGCGTAACTTTGAAGGTAGCTTCCTCGCTGCTCCTCCTAGCATGGCAGAAGGGATGCCTCGAGCGCTCCTCGACTGAATGTTTCTCTTGCAATGAATCCTGGCAATAGAATAATTAATATGTTTACGGATTGGCAAATATGTAAATATGTTTACGGGTCGAATCCCAACGCATTTAAGGCAGGGAGTGCAGCACAGTCAGTTACTTGACTGCTTGGTGCCTACATATCAAGGTAGGTGGCCTAGATCATGCGCCGTTACGAAAAAAAATTCCGAAACTGTAGAGTCCTGTCGTGAATATGAAAATTTCTTGTTAGCAGGGAAGCGTTTGTCCGTGGGACAAACTTGCTGCGTTCCTCCAAGAAAAACTACGTGTTTCACACACATTTTGCTTACTCACTAACTGCCAGCCAAACGAGCCATCCAAGTGCTTCCTGATGGCGTGTGACCCTTTTGCAACCAAACTACACAATACAAATCCACTCGCTGATCGGCGTTTGAAGAAAGGAGTATAGCAACCAGGCTACACAACACAATCTTTACGTACTTAAGCTGAGATTGAGGGCATCAGTACGTAGAAAAGTATGACAGGTCAGTAAATATTGAAGTGTTCCAAGGGGCTACGTGGGGCCCTGGTGCCATTAAAGTAGCTCAATGCAGCAAATTCATAGTTGAGAACTCCTGATGCAGGGTTCTGCTGCAAAGCAGCAGTTTTCTGCTGCAAAGCAGGAGGAGACGACGATACAGGAAAAGCAGCACCAACGGCGCATGAAAAAGCTTTCTGTTAGTGCTCAATCTGCAGAGCTGCTATTGTTTTGATGCTGCTTCAGCCCGTCGCAAGTCTCACCCATAAGACGCGCATTCGAAAGGGCCGCAGCCACTGCGGCATGATCGCCCTGGTGCATATCTTGTAAGCTAGAAGCATCTGGCCCGCGAGCGGCAGCTGAATTTGTCAAGGTACTTGATGGCATGCCCATCCAATGGGCATGCACGGAGCGGTCACTCGAGTGTGTCCTGCCCTGTGAGCGGGCGACGTTGGGACTAAAGAAACAGAAGGAAAGAGTAATAGGACATTAAAGAAAAGTTTTATCCAAGTTCGGCACTACGGTTGAAGAAAGTTAGGTCTCTTCAACGCATAAACGCAACGTCTAGCTAAGCCTCCCCCCGTACGCTGTTTGGAGGCGATGCAACAAGCCCTGTGGGCGGTGCTGCAGCTTCTTTTGCACATTGCATCTGCAGTAGCAATGAGACGTGTCAGCTTACCACCTTTTGTATTTTTGCCGAGGCAGGGGCTTGCACTTATGCCGAATCAACGAGGCGAAGTGAAAGTAGCCTGCATACGTATCCATGTAAGATCATGCCTACGAATTAGGCATGTTGTTTATTAAACTGATGTTGCAAGTCTAGTCGCTATGACTGCAAAATTAATTCAGCAGCACATAACAGCTGGCTGGTGGCTTGGTGCAAACGTGCGTGTCCCTACCCAGATTTCCATCCTCATTTCCTTCCTGTTCCAAAGCTGCAGAGAGGCTCTGCCCAAATAATGTTTCGCCGAATACCCAACGGCAATCATCTAGAGAAAGTCGCCCTGTGGTCGAATGAGACATGTCCACCGCGACTGTTCGTGCGCATGTTTCAGGCACTCATTCTGCCCACCTACTACTTTCAGGCATGTCTCGGATTACCAGGAAAGACATTATGCAACAAGGCCCCATAGACGCGCTCTCACAACTCTTCAGGAAGCTGTCATGCTTTACCATCACGGTTGACGTCCAATTTATCAAATGCCTTTTTCAGTAGAGAATCATCCGCCTCCACTAAAGTGCCGATCATTGCAGCGGCAAACACTGAGTGACCAAAACACGACACAAAGCTTACAACGCAACGAAACATTACCCATCGATTACATCCCACTTTAAGATGACTCGTGTCACGGCAGGTAGAAATGAGGTTTCGAAGCGTGTGCATTGGCTTTCGCGGTGGTCACATCCGTGTCCTATCACAAGCGTTCTTTCTTTACCACCTACAGTACTGCGTTGCTCTACTTAAACTTCGTATTAATATTTGTTATAAGGTGCCCTTAAATGTGATTTGAGTGAAATGGCTGCAAGCCGAAGTAACCGCGTACCTGTGAACATAATTTCCCCATCTTTGTTAATATCGAGTGCATCAAATATTGCTTCGACCTGAAGTCGAGGCAAAAAATCACACTAACCTGCACAAGCTCCGATATCGTACAAGAATTTGTAATCGTAATACGAATCTGCCTTGAGTTCGCTTTGTGAGGTGACGTGTGAAAGCGCAACATTGCGGTGGCAGCACGCTTGTGTGCACAGCTCTCAGAAGTTTAGTCCTTGGAATCGTTGTCAGCTCATCCGCAGAAAGCTACAGCTCGGCTTCACTGCGCGTTCAAAAATTAAAGCTGGCGCTTGTAATAGTACTGCAGTGGCTCGTCAGTGAATTGTGGAGCAGTTTGTATGCAACAACTACACCAATAAAGACGAAATAACAAGCAGATATCTGAAGAACGGGAGCTTCCACTGGAAGGGAGGACTGCACCTCTTCATGTACGAAGGGCTCCGCCTGTTCTCTTTGAAGCGTCCTCCTCAAATCTTCTGCAGTAAGACGTCCAATGCTAGAGTGGGAGGCGCCAGCAAACAAGCGTCCAACCACTATTCACAAAGCGACAAATCTATACCATCGACTAGGATGCGTACGAAACCGTCGAGTCACTTACGGGCTTTTCAAAGTACTGCTAGGCTAATCTTGGGGACGAAAATGTGGTGAAGCAACCAACCAAACGTCCGACTGTTATGTGACGCAGTAAGCATAATATGGATTCTGATTAGACGCTCCACTTGTATGACTTTCGCTAAGTAAATTTGGTATTGGCCAAATGGCTATATTCCCCCATTTCTGAGTTGTTGGAAGCATCTGCCCCTCCATGCAGCTGGAAAATAGGTTACTGGCGTTTACAAATGTCCACTTCTTGACCGAAGATGCAATGTTAGTTTTTTTGTTACCTCACATTCGCATTGGTCGGAATTTAAGCAGTAGGCGCAAATGAGAACTGCTGCGCGGCGTAGTGGGCTGCTGTTGGCAAACCAGCGAAGTCTACAGGACAGGCAAAATTGGGAAAGCATCATTTGGAAATTGTCCATTAACATAATAATAAAAGTCCCCTGCAGTGCTTGCGCGTTGCGCAAGGAGCCTGCGCTGTTTGGAACACCCGTGTCTCCGCTGCTGCCGTTACTGCTAGTGCTACTACTGCAGTATGAAAGGAGGAAACGAAGCCTAAGTCATCTGGCTCTTTCTGCTCAGTATGCAGGGTCCCACCCAGCGATGCAGGAGGGAGGAAAAGGTTGACGTGTGATCATCTGTCCAAAAAGCCAGGGCTGAGGGCACAGACAAACAAGCGGTGCAGCGGCGAAAAATTGCCTCCTAGTAGGCATTCACGAGCAACAAGGCAAAACGTCTTGCTGTCTGAAATTATCCCCATCAAGAAATTGAAAATGGCTTAGGTGGGATGGCTTACGTGCTCCAAAGCTCGCTGCGGAGTAAGGCGGTTGCTGTGAAGGCGGAAAAGCACAGCAAAGTAGAGCTAGTGTTGCACCTAGATATACTGAACCTTTCTGGACCAGCATGGTGAGCTTAGTCACTGAACTATTTCTCACTGCGGGCTGAGCGTTAATAGCTGCGTTACAAAAGACTTCGCCTCCTCAGAGACGCCAGCTTTCCTGAAGATGCAAAAGATACGCATGTGTCGTCAGACTCTTTCCTCAGCCACAACTGAGCCCTCGAGTTGGGCTATGACTTTTCGCAGCTCTAATCTCATTTGCGATGCTAAGCTCACTCGAGATGCAGCATATTGACATCACCGGAAAGGATCTGACGGATTTTTTCTTGTCGTGTACCCACAAATGGCGGGCGCCCGCAGAGTAGCTGGTATACTGTGGGGACACGAAAAAAACTGCAATGCATGAGAGTTCCTCGTGATGCGTGGCGACTCTGCCATGAGTTGCTTACAAATCTGCGTCAATATTTTACCCCTTCCAGTACAACAATCACTACTTTGGAGAGCTCCATTGGTGTGATCTCTTCTGCGTGGGGAAAGCAAGGATAAGTGAATAGCTGTAACACAGTGCGGCTACTGTAATGCAACAGAAACGACTAACCAATGACACCCAGTGACCACATGTCGCAGGCATCGGTGTAGCGCCCGAGGAGAACATCTGTGTTGAGCAGCACGAACAGCCACAAAGTACATCTGTGAAGCGAAGCAACACATTGTGCAGCAGCAAAAACTAGTACTGCGTGACTGAACTCCATTTGCTATCCCTAATGCTTATTTTTTGTCTGGAGAGGGGGACCTGGGCTGGTGTATGCTAGTATGCCGCAAGCAGCATTAAGACGGCCCTCCTTCTTGTGCCATCGTGTAGAGTGACTCAGGCCATGAAGCTTCAGTGGAGGGGAAATTTCTTGTCTTGTCAGTTGCCAGCTCTCGAGCCTGAGGTTGCGGTGAACGATCCCGCAGCCCTGGAGATATCCAATCGCCTGAACCATCTGCAGCACACGCTAGCGAGGCAACGAAGACACCGTGATGTCCTCTTCTAGAGCATTAAACTCCCAAGGAGACGGCCACTGAGCGAAAGAAAGCGAAAGGCGCTTCAAGCTCCATATAAAACTATAAAAGATACCAGCTTGCGACACGCCTCTGCAAAATGAACAGCTACTGACCTGTAAGGCCCAAGTCCTTGCTAGCTCTTCAGGACACTTTTGCAAAGCTGCCAAATAATCATACAGCGAGCCGCCTGAAGCAGTTGATGTAAAGTTGCAGGTAAGCAATAACACGCATAGTCAGCTGTTTTTCTAGGCAGCACTATTCAAGAAGCCTACATGAGCGGATCCCACCACAGCGCAATTTTTTGTGGTCTACACACAATACCGGAGAATCTACATCAGCAAGCCATCATACTGCGTCCAAAAGTATGGTCTGAGTGGCAGCTAGACTAGTTAGAACAGAGACCTCACCCGGGCAGAACTCCGACACAAGATAAACGGCCCTGTCGTCTTCAAATACCTCGAGCAACCTGAAAAGCCAAAGCATTGAATTCACGGGTTAAAGACATGCCAAAGTCTTCAAAACTCAGGGAAAAGCAGAGCGGCATCTGCCCTACAAAATGAGGAAAGAGGGAGGACTTCAGCGGTTCCGAATGCAGTGCCCAAGCAAACTAAAGTGGAATTCCCCTCACCGTGACTTGCCTAGCAATATATGGATGATCTAAAGAGAGCCAAACCTCAATTTCATTTTTTGTCGCCTCCATTTGGGCTGGGTCCTCAAGATGCTTTTGTATTACCAATGCTTCTGCCTTGCGCCCACTGCGCTTACACGTCACTCTGCACACTCTCCCAGCATCGTCTCTTCGAAGGGCAAAAAAATCAAAAGAGTAGACTTCCCCGATGTTTTCGCGCACTAAGCGGCTCGTATACTGCACATGAGCAGCAACGGATGCAACTCCCGAAAAGAGCAACGTGAAAAGCTGTCAACTTCGCTAGCCGGAAGGTATCTTCACCCAAGAAAGCCATTCAGTAAACCAGAAACATTTGGCATGTACCCTTTCCTGACAACACGGGTGAAGAGGAATATAGGCATACGCATCTCGGAAACGCTAAAGTGGAAACTGAGAGGTTGAGTTGGACTGTTAGACGTTGAGTTGGACTTATAGGGCCACACTTCACACACTAAATACTTAACGTCTTTCTTCCTAAGCAGAGGTAGGAGAGCATAGATGCCATAAAGGCACTGCTTCCGACTCACTCGAACCAAGTTTTGTTGCGGTTGCTGAAACACATCACTGAAAATGGTTGAATGACTGTGGGAGGTCCTTGCATCTGCCTGAGTACCTCTTAATCGCGAAAGACCAGTTGCGGGGGCTTCGCGGCCCCGCATATGCTGAAGGGACTGCCTGGCCCCCATCAAACATACTTTTCAAAAGGGAGGCTGCGCACCACTAAACTTTTATCCCGCGAACCTACGCAAAGTTATGGCACGAGGCCAGCAAGGCCCTCTTGCCGCCCATGAGAGCCTAAAATCCTCCACACCAACGTAAATACATAAAATTTAGTCTTTTTGAACCGATAGAAGGCAGATGAATGAAGAAAAGGGTTGCTATCCGTTCAGGACGCCCAGTTCCTTTATCCTCGACGGAGTGGGAACCGCGGAGTCGCTACCCTCTAAACAGCGCATATACTCTAAGCGTTCAAAAAAACAATAAAATGGCTCAATTGAAAGGGCGGAAGATGAGATCGTGAAGCGGGGAAGAATCCGCTCGACGCACTGACGACAGTATCCGCCTGCCCAGTGGTCTGCGCACTGTTGGGGGACAATAAGAAACAGACTTCTCCGATTATTCCAACAAATACAGACTGTCCCTCCCAATCTACGTCATTACTTTTTTGCAAAAGGTATCGTAAAGCTTCATCGATAGGGCTAGCCGTGAGGACTGCTCTTGCATGCGTGGAGTGGGACGGTTCGGCTGTCACCACAGGGAAGAAAGTCAGTAGGTGGAAAGTTAGGGAATTTTCCCCCACCTAGAACACAAAGCTGAATTACGCGCTAAGAAGGCTTTTAAGAATTAGAGATTACCAGTACGTTCGATGTAATGAACAAGTTTCTTCCAGACACCCCACCGCATCCGACTCCTTGCCCCGCAACGATCGCAGTGGCGCGGCTAAGCATGTCTGTTACACAGCACCACTGAAGTGCATCTGATGTAAATATCTTTGCCCCAGTTGTCGTTTATTCTGATGGGAGACGTTATTCAGTAGCTCCAAACCTAATGTCCGTGCCGCTTTCACAACGGAAGCAACTACCGGGGAAACGAAGAGTTCAATCCCAAAGCTTACCTGTAGCTGCAACCAACAAATGGGCCAGAACCACGGAAAGCCTGCTGAGCGTTTGTTCTTGGAACTGAATACTATCTCGCCACCTAGTGAGAGAAAAATGCGGAATGCCTGCTATGCAGTGTGGAGCTCTGCAGTGTGGAACTGTTCGACAGGGTTCTTTGGCTGGCGGTAAATAGAACACATCTTTGCATAAACTGATTTGCCAAGGCCTGGGAATGAGAGGAGGTACTGCAGCTGATAAGACTGCACCTCTATATCTTCGGCGTTTGACTGATTTGTTAATCCGCTGCGCTTCCAAAACTATATTTCCTTCTCACAATACGGCAGAGCATGTCGTGATTCAGGATTGTATCAGTCAGACTTTCTGGTGAATTCAGCTCACGGGTTGAATGGTAGTCCCATTCCACGGGCTGTGCAAGAAGCAGCAAAGCGCTTAGTTGTCAGAAAATAGAGAAACCACTGGGACTTACTCGTACGGACTGAAGTTCGGCGGCTTTTCACGGCATTGCGGGAGACCATCTCCAGCAATAAAGATAATGATGCGACGTGAAGGCGTCACCACCTTCCCAGGAACTTGCCGAGTTCATCAGCCGCATGCTACCAATGCTCCTCATGTCATGCCGTGAGTGGAGGTATAAAGTGGTGCCATGTTCGTTTGAAACAATAGCGTGACCGCGTAAGCAACAGAGCAGTTGCCTCACGCTGTGCGGCAAACACAAGTAGGTTAGTATTCTCTCTGCTGGAGCTCATGGTGCTTGCGTTAAGCTACAGAGTGCGAGGACAGTGGTACCATTTGATCAGGCGTTTCCCCAATTTGGCGGCGCACGGTGGTATGGGGAAAAGACTGGGAAACAGGCTTTCGGCGAATGCGTCCTTCAGTTCCCAAGGTTCCCAAGGCATGCATACACACTAACCTGGAAATAGTTTTAAGATATACGTGAGATTTCAGGCAAACGTGCACACAGGAGTACACACGTGCGGACTACATACAAATGCCTGAGCACATTACATACTTACATATGGGTACAACTACACGCATATACATGTAGTACACGCCCATACAAGTACACGCAAACGTTTTAATGTAGCATCATACACACCTAAGTCAATATCATGGCTCCACCTGACACCTCTTGATCGTTCAAGCTCAACAACTAGGCCACCATTCACATTAAGCAGATGCTGAGTTTTATTAACTGTATCCCTACCAGCTCTTCCTCTGACAGACGTGCATATACCTAGACACCCATAGGTAAAGACACAAGCATACAAACACATACACCACGCACGCATACACACACAAAGATTTGCGTGCAGAGACATTCGCTGGCTAGCCCAAAAAGATCACAGAGAAGCTCTGTACGTTCAGAATCCACTCATTGCTTCTCTTCTAAATGAGTTCGGTACTAAACGAACAGCAAAGTATTATTGGTGGTATTGACGCGCTTCGCAAAGATCCGCCCTTTCGTGCGCCCTTGGAGCCTACGTTTTCCAAGCGGTTGCATGAACGGTGTTTAAATCGTACTTTTGTGCAGAGTTATACTTGTACAGCCAGTGTGTTTGTGTCAACAGTAAACATTTGCGGGCAACCACGCCATGGAGATAGGCCCCAACGCTGAGAGGCCCATTACTCAGCTGCAAGGGGATGCCAACATTAGTTCATGAACGCCAAAAAAAATCATCGGTGTGTTCTAGAGATCCATGAAAGTACAGGCAAACATGCTCGAGAATGCGTATTTCACTGTGAAGACTGTCCTGTTGAGGCTGAAGTGGGTGAAGCTGAGGAAACCAGGAACACTTGCGGAGCTACCATACATTTAAAGCAATTCAGAAATGAGATGAAAGACTTCTGGGAGGTGGGGGCGAGGACTTGAAGAAAAGTTACGTGCATATTGCAAGTCTTTCACCCAAGGCAAAGCCGCTAAGGAAATCGCTAAGTAAGACCCCCTACAGACCCTGCCAGGCTTAATTTGTAAATTTCTGATATTAACGCTCACAGAAATGATTCTGTCTCACCCATGTCAAAATTAAGAATTTCAAACCTTTCGGCAAAAGTAAAAGCTGTAGCGACAGCAGAAGACTATCCCTGTTGCAAGGCTGGGTATCCGACAGCATGGTTCCCTAATAGAACCGAAGGACGGGACGAAAGTAACTCGGCCAATCTGCTGATGTGACGTGAGCTTTGTTTGTCTGGGTAAATATGATTATCTCTTGTCTCCTTAGTTACGTCCCTTCCTCCCTTGCCTAACCACGTAACCAGCTTATTCGGGATAGCTGCAATGTTTTTTCATTCAACTCCCTGTGAGGTAGAATAATGCTTCAAAGATTAGATGATTTATAACAGTGAGAAAATTTACCAGCTAAGTTATTTTTTAAAGGCGATACTTGGAAAAAAGTGAACGAGTCTTCGAGGCACTTCCTGTGGTGATCAGTGACACTAAGGAGCACTAATAGTGGTACTCCATTTGTCAGAAAAGTAGTCAGCTAAAACTTTTGTATTAACAGGCGTGGAAGAGAGACAGGATGAGATAGTCTTTGAGGAACAAAAACAGAGCTTTGCTAGATACTCACCAGCCCCATTCGCGGACAAGAAGCCAGTGTACAAGCGTTCAGCATGTTCCGAAGATACTAGTTCATACCCCCCAAAAATGCAAGCTGCTTTAATTCCTGAAATCAATTAGAAGAACAAACTGTGTTTTATTAGAGAGCAGTAAAAGAGTGGCGCCTTCAGGCAAACTGCTCTGTATGTCCTGTACCGATTTAGACTTTGGCCTAGACCCAATATACAGATTGAAACGTATAAATTGAGCATTCTGCACACAAACGAACATTATTTTATCGTTTGAGTAGGCCTTTAAACATAAAAAAATAAAGTCTTTAGACGAAGCGCAAAGATAAGACTCAGTCTCCTGAAGCCCCAGTGCGTGTTGCTTGGCCTTCCCATTTGGCTTGGGCTAAACCTAACAAACACTGGCAAATGATCGCCAGTCTATCTAAACTCATTTTGCTTTTATAACTGTAGATGCGTCTTAGTGAATTCTTGGTGAATACTACTGCGCCTACCACAGCAATCCAGCCCCAACTTTTCCTTGGGTCTCCTCCAAACTGCAGAATAATCACCCAGAAACGACCTAAGGCGTGCGCTCATCAATTGAATATACTCCACCCTGTCGTCCTGGGGGCAGCATCTTGAACACAGTGCAGTTTCCTGCAGTGCAAGGTCGTGTTGTGTTTATTCGCTGCTCACTGTTCTGATGCTCTAAACCCATTTGCCTGATGCGCGTGCGTCTACGTGGAAGTCATGACTATCGGCAGCCGACCTACAAAACTTGGATGAGCTCCCCAGCTCATCCTCCCAGTTGGTTGTTCTTGCCGTGACTGTGATGCCGCCATTCCGTCTGGATGACCTTAGGCCGCGATGCCTCCCCCCACCCTGAAGGTATTGAATGTGGCGGAGAAGCCGTCAGTTGCGAAAGAGATAACTCGCCTTCTCGGAGCAAACAATGTTCGCAGGGTGAGCTGCACGAGGAACAAGTGCCTGCTGGGAACAGACAGAAAAACATGAAGCTTCTCTACGTGTTGGAATTATATCGATGGCCCGCGCAATGCTCTTCTTCTTTCCTCCAGCTACAGAGTTCCAGCACATTCAATGCTGTCACATCGTTTCCATGCGTCCTTCAAGGCCAGCAATGCGAAATGATATTCACTTCTGTCCGAGGGTGGGCCATAAATTAATTCCGGCTCTGCAAATGGCATTGATGCGCCTCTAGCTGTTGAGTATTGCCGCATATTTGAAAAGTTAGAGGCCTTGTTGCGTCACGGTTTTCACTCTAGCAACTGCCTCAGCGAAGGACTGCGTGTTTCGTTGCAGCCATCTCATGTCTCTTGATTTTCCTGCCCCGTTTTCGTCATGGAATTCCGTGTTCCCTGAAGCCCTGTTTACTGGTGAGCGCACATTGGCTCCTTTTAGTGTGACAAAGTTATCA